GGGGGGAAGCCAGTAACTCATGCCAGACCTTGTAGATATGGCAGACTTCGTGCAAGATCTGGGGAGTAAGAGGGGGTTTGTTTCTAGTTGTGCAAGGAGCAGACAGCCTTAAATTACTCTCCGGCCGTCCCATTTGAAAAAGCACTTTGGGCACCTTAAGGGCAGCCATTTCCTGCTGGGGCTACCTTCCCACCTTGCCCCTCACTCTCTCACCATCTTGCTTATACCTGCTGCCAGCATACCCTCACCCCTGACATCATTTCAGGAAATTCTGAATTCCTCTTACTCCATAGTGCAGCAAGAGCTCCTTCTAACCCTTCTCAGCTCAGCTCCAGGCCCATCTTTTCACTTCCAAAACCCATCAAGTTCCTCCTTGTTGAGTAAAAGGGTGTTTTGGGGGGCACTTGGGTGGCTCAGTGGGTTAAAGCCTCTGCCTTTGGCTCCGGTTGTGATCCCAGGGTCCTGGGATCGCGCCCCACATTGGGCTCTCTGTTCAGCAGGGAGCCTGCTTCCTTTCCTCTCTTTCTGCCTGCCTCTCTGCCTGCTTGTGATCTCTGTCAAATAAATAAATAAAACTTAAAAAAAAAAAGAGTGTTTTGGGATGAACACCATCCATTCTGCTTAGAAAATATTTGCAGTTTTAAATAGCACTTTTTCAACATTACGTACTTTTCAAAGATTATGAAAAATGTATTCTTTTCCTTCAATTAGTCTCTCCCACCTCTCTTCATAGCTCTTCTGGTGAACCTCCTCCTTTGGTAGCTGGAGACCCAAGGTGAAGAGTTGTACCTGCTCTCTGGGGGCCCTCGTAGCTCCCTGCTTCTCCCTGCCCATGCCCCCTTCCCCATCAACTTGATGGCGTGTTCAGAGATATTCTCCAGTCTCTCCTGGTGATACCACACCCCTGGTATGGGAAAATGGCTGAGAATAGGAGGGAATGATGGACTGGGGAAAGAGCCTCGTTCATAATGTTCATCTTAGAACTAATCTGGAGGACATTCTTGCCCTAGTTCCTAGCACCAAGTCAGTCACTGAGGCATCAGCATCATTTCTTAGGACTGCCAGGCACACAGGTCTTTGTTATCTTTCAAGTCCACCCCAGGACACCAAATGGCCATGGCTGCTGGAATGGGAGGGTCCTGGCACAACAACAAGAAAGACCTATTAGGATCCCTCCAAATGAGGGGTGGAGTGGTATTTGTGTGGGAAACCTTCCAACATACTCCTGGTCCTGAGTCCTCATGACCGTCATCCATCCAGGAGACCCGCATCTGCTGTTGTCAGAAACTGCCCAAGCATCAGGTGTTTGGAGAGGAGGAATTAACACGTCCCCACAGTCCGTAGTCCAGTGGAAAAAGACTCAGATCAACAAATCACTGTAAAACGTGCCAAGAGCTCCATCTAGGGATACAGAGGAGGATGAGCACTGGCAGGTTGTCTGGCTGTTAGAGCAGGCGGGGCATTACCCCAATGTTTATAGCAGCAATGGCCACGGTTGCCAAACTGTGGAAAGAACCAAGATGCCCTTCAAGGGACGAATGGATAAGGAAGATGTGGTCCATATACACTATGGAGTATTATGCCTCCATCAGAAAGGATGAATACCCAACTTTTGTAGCAACATGGACGGGACTGGCAGAGATTATGCTGAGTGACATAAGTCAAGCAGAGAGAGTTATCATACGGTTTCACGTATTTGTGGAGCATAACAAATAACATGGAGGACATGGGGAGATGGAGAGGAGAAGGGAGTTGAGGGAAATTGGAAGGGGAGGTGAACCATGAGAGACTATGGACTCTGAAAAACAATCTGAGGGCTTTGAAGGGGCGGGGGGGGGGAGGTTGGGGGAACCAGGTGGGGGGGATTGGGGAGGGCACGGATTGCATGGAGCACGGGTGTGGGGGAAAAAAAAATGAATACTGTTACGCTAAAAAAAAATTAAAAAAAAAAAGGGGGGGGGTCCATGTGCAATACTATGATGCCTGTTTCACCATCGCTTTCTGTGGCTAGAATGCTGGGTATACCCAGCGCTGGGGAGCTCAGCCTGGAGAACTCGGCAGACCAGCACAGACGTTAGCACTGAGAGCTCTGATGCCATCCCGAGGTCACTAATGGGAATGACGAGATTTGGGTTTAAGGAGGTACATTCAGCAGCAGAGCAGATGAAGTGCTGGGGCTGAGGGAGCCGCTGGTAAGGACGTGGGGCTCCCTGTCCCCTACTCGATTGCCAGTCGTGGAGGGGAGGGGGCCTACGGCTGCTGTGCTCACCATTATTCCGAGTCTAGACCCTCAGATACTGTAAGAAATCTCACAGCGTTATGGACTGAATTATCTGTATCCCCAAATTCACATACTGAAATCCTAATTCCCAATGGGATGGTATTGGAAGGTGGGACCTCTGGGAAGTGATTAGGTCACAAGGGTGGAGCCCCCATGAATGGGATCGGTGCTCTTCGAAAAAGCCCCCAGAGATCTCTCTTGCCACGTGAGGCCACAGCAAGAAGACAGCATCTCGGAACCAGGAAGCAGGTCCTCACCAGACTCCAGATCTGCTGCTACTTTGAGCTTGGACTTCCCAGCTTCCAGAATTTTGAGAAATCACTGTTTGCTGTCTGAGGCCCCCAGGCTATCGTATTTTTGTTCGAGCAGCCCAAGCTAAGACAGTGCAGGTGGACAGGAAGTGAGGCAGCCTGGCAAAGGCGGGGCCCAGAGCAGACCTGCTCCATATGTCACCCCAGAGAGGTGGGCTGGGAGCGGAAGGCCTGGATCTGCGCAGCTGCCGAAAGATCGAGCTGCGGCCAGGATGCTGCCACACCAGGGACTTGGCCTCTACACCTTCCAGGAGCACCTGCACTTCTCTGCAAGGGTCCCTTGGTTCTTTCCATCTTCCGTTCCTTGGGGTGGCTCCGTCCATGCAGGGCAGCGATGGTGGCATGGGGGGCGGGGACAGGACTCATCTTCAGGGCTGGCAGACAACCTGACCGTGGCCTACCTGACCGCAGCCTACCTGACCGCGGCCTGCTGTCTCCCCGCTCACCCGCCACACCTCCCTCAGGGCCCCTCAGAACTCCTGCCTTTAAGATTATGAGGGCAACAGCGAAGTCATGTCAAGGCCGGGAACCAGGGACGCCAAAGCTCTTGTTTTCTTAAGGAAGAAGTAAACAAACTCTTTGACCACACCGGAGCTTGATTGGATTAAAAAAGTGTATTGGATTTCCAATACTAAATAAAAACATGAAATTGTTTTTTAAAAAGCCATAGAGTTTACAGCATCAACTACAGAAAAGGCCAAACAAGTGTGTACAGAAACCAGGCCCCAGCAGCCCTCCAGGTCCCCTTCCAGCAGGCAACAAGGCAAGACACGTTTGTTCCAAATCCTCCTGAAGGAAGCTGCCGAGCAGCAGCGCAACTAGGACATTACAAGACACACAATGGTTTAATTTCAAAAATCACAGGAATATGTAAGAAAATGTATTAAACTGTGAAAAGGTGCAATACAGAATAGCTTTCCTTTTTCTTAATTTTAAAAAAATCCCCCAACTTTGAACAGTTATTTTATTTAAAAATAGGCCCCTCCCCCCGCCCCCGTTCTGCGGCAGTATCCAGGTGCCGAGGCCCTGAGGTAACACGAGTGTCAGGGTTCGCGGGAGGGAACGCCCCGAATACCGAGCACGTTTCTTTGGGCAAAAGGTAAGACAGCTTCTGGGGAATCTAGCCCTCCTGGTGTCCAGAGTGCTCTCCTCAGGACCAGTTTAAGTGCACTGGTTTTCCAGAATCCCACCTGGCACAGTCCTGTGTGACCGGCTGGCACGGCGGCGGGACTCCCGGCATTGCACTTCTCATTGCCCCCAAAATAATAAATACAGAGTTCATCTACAAAACCAATATGTGTGAAGACCTCAAAAGGAGAAATAGCGACTGTACAAAGGCAAGTGGGGCGTCTGTGGGGCCAGGGCAGAGCCCGGGGCCCCTGGGGCTGGTGGGCTGGGTACCTGCCCGTGGTCTCAGCAGCTGACCTCTTCCTGGCTACAGAAACAAAGCCTGATGCACCTTCCACACTGCCTTCTGGGGAGTTGGGGGGAGTAGGGGAAGATGCCTGACGGTCAGTCCTGGATTTTGTTAATATTCTCAGTATTAAAAAAAACAACCCACCTCAGCTCCTTACCTTTTTAAGACAAAGAACGTAAGGGCTGTTTGCAAAGGCAAAGGGCCTCCCAGCATGTCCCAGGAGCTTCCTGCTACCCTGTGCTGATCAGGGGCTTCGCTGAGCTGCTGGGATGGAAGAGGCGGTGGTCACCTCTGCTGTCCCTGTCCCCTGCTACCTCCAGAACAATGTTCAGAAAGGAGTGGAGAGCCTTGGGGGTGCTGCAGCCCCTGCCGGCCTCGTCCTTGTGAGTGCTTTCCCTAAGGGGCTCTGAAACACGGCAGCGAGAGCCGGACCCGCCAAGGACAGAACTAGAGAGAAGCAAGGAGTCCTGTGAGGAATCCAAGTGCCTTTCTTTACCTCCCGCGACCCCCAGGAAACACATGGTGACAGCAGGAAAGGACTCCGTCTTGCCCCCTGACTTTCCGGGAACGGCTGGGCCTCTCGGCCTGTTCCGCGTCACTCTAGAGATCGGAAGTGTGGCACTGGCTCCTCAGCATGGACATTCTCACCAGGATGTGACTCACTCATCAGGGCAGCTAAGTCCTCGAACTCACCTATTGCACAGAAGAATTTTTTAACAAAGATCCAAACGAAAGTCCAGTTGCAACTTAGTGACAATAGAGATGGACATGCCAGGACAGGACGAAAAAGAAGATGCTTCCGTTCTCTGCAGGCTTCTGGAAGAAAGCACGACGACTGAAACATTCACAGACCTCAGCAGCCCCTCCACTTCCTATTCCCAACCCCCCAGCCCACCCCCACCCCAATACTTCGAAACTGCACAGAAAGCAACAAACAAGTCTTTTCAATGTTACATTTCATTCAAATAGATCTGTGATCTCACAGTGATGAGAGGAGAAAAGTCAGGCCTTTAATAATTATAATAAAAAATAATAAAAAAGCTTACAAACAGCAATGCAACATTTCCTCCCTCCCTCAAAGTGATGGATTAACAGCTGGTAGAGGATGCAATGACTCGGAATTCAAAAATAAGAACAAAAAACAAGCCAACCCCTGGAACAACCCACATTGTCAATGACTTTCCATACGTAATTCAGACAAGCAGTCAAATGTCAACCACTTGTGGAGAACACCATGGACTCCCTTGGTTTTTGATAGTGTTTTTCTTTCGAAGGTAAAATAAAATAGGACACAAATAAAACTGTACGTGAATGCCAATGTCTACACTCCATGAAGGCGACGCGGCTGCAGTACGAAGACACAGCCTGACCACAAAATGAAATGTACGGTGCGCTTCTTGCCTCTTCCCCGGACACAAAATTTTGGCCCATGGTGCCCAGTCCTGCAGGGTATCAGCAGGCAAAGGGAAGCCGCCTTGACACGGGCTTCTTCCAGGCTGACCAGGAGAAGGCAGGTGGCCGTGCCTGGAGCCGGCCCCACGCAGGGGCGCCGGCTGGTCTGCCCGCTCGCTCTGTGTTCTTAAGTGCTGGCCTCACGTGCTCTGTACAATCCTTGCTTTCCAGGCTCTGAACCACGACTTCTCGGCCCAGGTGTGCAGTCGGGCGGGGTCTCAGGCTGTCGTGATGGCGTGCAGGTCCTTCATGAGCCCTTCCAGGTGCGCCATCTCTTTGGTCAGCTCATCTGGCTCATGGCTCTGCGGAGAGAAGGTGCGCAAGCCGTCAAGCACCGCTCCTGGCACAGGGAGATGCTCGGGGATGTCTGCTCAAAGGGTGAGTGCATCCGCTTCACACCTCTGGGCCCGCACACAACGTGGTGTGACCGGCACACTCGCAGGCCACAGGACACACACCCGACATCCTGGCTGGGCTGGCGGCCCAGGAACTTACACTCTCAGAGTCCTCCAGCATCCTTGTGGTCTCCTGCACGTCAGGGGCACTGGGCACCACCACTGGCATCGGAGGCCGGCTCCTTCCTAAAGTCCCAATGGAGGCCGTCTTCACCGAGTGAATGTGATGGTTCAGAGCTGAGGGGAAAGGGTACCATTAGGGGTGTTGCTGAGCTGCTCCCCCAGATCTCATGAAGGCAACTAAGGTCTAGCTGCTGCTTCAGGGTGAGGGATGCACCCAGACCTAGAGCACAGCTCTTGCTCTGAAAAGGCACTGCACTCAAGGGAAGGAGGGAGAAAGTGGCTAAAGAAACAGTTCCATTTGGCTTTAGAAATTTAGAAGTAAGGTCAAAATTCCTTTCATGATAATAAGTTTTTGCCTCTGCACTGATGGTATGAAAGCAACAGTGGGTAAAACCGCTGCAGCCTTAGCATAAATTAGGGCAGTGGTGCCAAACTGCAAAGTCATTCACGGACAAGACTAACATTTAAAAAAAAAAAAAAAAAAAGGTTGGTTTAACTTAAGATCATCCTTAATGAAGTAATAAAAATTACTAAATCTCCACCTTGATTATACATCCTTTATCCTATGTGACAAAATGGAAAGTATGTATAAAGTACTTCCGTCTACTACACGACGGTGGCTGACTGGAGCTCAGGACCTTTGTGACAGCTTGAGTTACAAGAGGAACTGTGGCTTCCGTCATGAAACACCAATGTCAGTCCGAAGAAAGACTGACAGACATACCAGTTATTCAGACTTGAGCACTGGGCAGACATTTTCTAGATGGTAAATAAAGTAAGCCAGTCACTTCAAGAAAAATAATGGACAGTTTTTATCCCCAATGATAAAATACAAGTTTCAAGTGAAAATTAGAATCTTGAAAAACTTGTATGTGCCACCAAGAGCTTGAGAGCCTCCCAATACTTACAGACTTTGGTGATACTAATAAATGTAGTTTTACATTTTGTATAATGAACTGTGTTAAGTTTTGGAGGATCTGTATAACTTACTAAACCAATATTTTCCAAATGATGTCCGATATCATGCATTCAAAGTACAAGATGGCTGGATTTTCATGAAACAGAGTACAAACAGTTCACGGGTATGGCTATATTACATTACAAACAAACCTGTAAGAAAATACAACTTCTTGTGTTTTGCTATAGTATTAAAAAAAGAATATCCAGTCTGAAGAGGTTACAAAAATACTCTTCCCTTTTCCAACTTCCTATCTGCGAGACCAGGTTTTCTTCTTACACTTCAACCAAAATAACATGTTGCAACAGACTGAGTGCAGAAGCAGGTTTGAGAATCCAGCTCCCTCCTATGAAGCCAGATGCTATAGGGATTTGTGAAAATACAAGACAATGTCACTTTTCTTTCTGTATTTTTGTTTTGGAAAGTTATTTTTCATAAAAATATGTTATTTATTTTACATGTTAGATTTGCTATTTTTAAATGAGTTAATAAAAGAGCTTAAACTTTTCTGTTTTAATTTCTAATACACTAAATATTGGTAGATCTAGCCCATGTAAAGAAAAGCTCCTTCATGGTCTCAATAGGTTTTAAGACTATAAAGGGGTCCTGAGACCAAAAAGCTTGAAAACCACTAACTTACTCTAAAACAGACCATCATAACAGACATGGAGAAGTAGGGAAAAGCATGCTTTTCAGGATAGGTGCTTCGTGGGGACCAGGTGAACTTGAGGAATTGATTTCCGACCCATCTGAAGGGCCCCTTACTTCCATGTCTTGTCCTCCCCAATCCTTCCCTACCTTGTAGGAACCCTACAGAGGGAGGCATTTTGGGGAGGCTAAGTGGACTAGATCTGTTGTCCACACCTATAGCCACTGGATTTTACCACCAAGAATTCTGCACCCAAAACACGATTCAGAAAGTCAGCCCTCACTCCCCACAATATTATTCTCTAGTTCATATGCATTGCCCAGGGAAGGGAGCCCATATACTTCTTGAAAGGGGCAATGACTTCTAGCTACTCTGAACTACTAGGATAAGCCTGGAAGGTATTTGCTATTGTCAAAGAGGTGACCTGTGCCCCAAGCCAGAGCCAAAGGGTCCCGCCAGTGGTGCTGCTGTCCTCACTCACCTTGCTGGGATAGTAACGGTGTGCTTGGCAGCGCGGGATCATAGGTGGGAGGGCCTGGGGGTGGGATTGCCGGCACAGCAAAGCTCTTCAATGGGTGGGAAGGGCGCACGTGGGCTGTAGGAAGACTCTGGCCTGAATCTTCCTCTTGGGAGCTTGCCAAGTAAGAGGAACTGGTAGCACCTTCAGGGTCCTGGTGATCAGTACAGCATGTTTGAGACGAGGAGGCTGGCATGGTGTCAGTGCTGGGGGTATTTCGAACGGACTCTACAGCAGGAAAGTCTAAATGTTAGCATTTCTTCTCCCATTAAACACACGCACATAGCAGGGTTCTGGCTACTTCTAAGGGCCCCTGAAATCAGCTCAATAAGCACTCAGGACCAGTGTTAGTCCAAGGGAACATGGATCAGCACCACTGCCAAGGCCAGGTAAGAATGGACTAATTCAAAAGAGTCCCAAACAACTGTGCCAACCAGCTGCTCTGCTGAAATGTTCTCGCCCACACAGCTAAGTGGTCACAATTTTACAGCATTCTCCTGAGTACTTACTAGGGAGTAGACATAAAGGTTCCTGGGGCTACTGTCTATTAAGATGTGAATATAAAAGGAGATTAAAAACATCACTCATTGACTGACCGATGGTCTTAGAAACTGGCCTGTCATAGATAACATGTCTGCCTGACAAGCACCAGATGTGCCCAAAAGGCCTGCCGGTTACTACAGAAGAGGCAATGCCACAGGCCCTGCATGCTGTTGGGGGACTGTGCACGGCCTCACCAGAGCAACAGCCCCACAGCTCAAGGGAGACCTGGACAACCAAATAGTCCAGAGGTCTGAAAATAGCTTTAAGAACATGCCACATAAAGGTGTTTGGGTCGAGAGGGAAAAAAACAGGGGAAGATCAGCCTGGAGAGGGGGACGACTAAGGAAGAACGTGACAGTCTCCAAACATGTGAAGAGGGGTCAGAGTTGTTCCAGAAGGCAGTGTGGTGGGATAGAAAAACCACTGGCTTTGGAGTCAGATAAACCTGGGCTATAAAGCTGGCATACGAGCTGGGTTAACTTGGAGTCACTGAATCTGGGTCTCTTTCTTCACCTACAAAACAGGGAGGATAACCTAATTCAGTGAGGACTGAGAAGATGTATGAAATGTGCTGAACACGGGACCTGAATAATTGATAAGGTTCTTTTCTTTGTAAATTACTGAGCGCTTACTCTGAGCCAGCCACTATGCTGTGTGCTCTACATTCACTAGCTCATTCTATGCTCACAGAAACTCAGAAGGCACCGGGATGTTAGGTGCTGCTCATGGACTCAAAATGGCGAGGGCAGGAATCCGAATACCTGCGCCCCGACTCCCAAGCCCACGCTCGGAACTCCCACATCACACTGCCCTTCCATTTCCAATACTACTGGTCCCCTTTAAAAGGAAGCCCTTTTAAACAGTGTGAGCTGGTGCGGACCCACATCCCTAACCTGAGGATGGGTCTGGAGACACCAGCTCAGGGCTAATGGGCTGCACTGGGCAGTCAGGAGGAGGGCCTCCCCTGACTCCTAGAGTCCTCCACTTCAAAAGGGAAAATAAACTTTTTAAAGTAGTAATGCATGAGCAGCCTGTAGAAATCCAACCTCTCCCTGCCCTTGTTCCTGAGGTAACATTGAATCTATTCCCTTGGGCTCCCAGGAGACAGGACGCCACAGTCATGAGTGCTAATGTACCCTCAGATTAAAGATCTTGGGTCCCAGGGGTAAGGGACTCACACACCTTTCCCCAGTGTGGAAAGCCTGGCTGTGATAACCCCACTAGGCCTATGTCACTTCTCAACCTCTCAAGAGGTGCACTGAGGACCTCATTTCTTTGCTTCCTGGAGCCAGCGATAATCACAGCTAGGAGCTGCTGGTCTTACTCTGTGCAATCCTGGGCTGGGGAGAAGCCGGTTAGAGAGGGGAGTAGGGGGTAGGAGAGAAGCAGCAGACTCCAGCCTGGACCATGTCAGCCTGTGTTGGGAGACAGGTCAGGTCAGCTCTGGGCACACATGCCTACCTTGGCCACCTCAAATGCCTGACTTTGATGTATAAGCTTCTCAGGGTCCAAGAGGTGGTGGGAAATGTAAAAAAGGAGAATGGTGTTGCCTACCCGAGTCAGAAACCTGGCCTGCTGCCACATACCAGGGCCACCCTGCTGTGTAACTGGAGAGGGCACCGGGCATGTTATATTCCCAGTGAAGGGTGTGACACGGCTGCCCCACAAGGAAAACTATCCTGTCATTAAGATTTCTCCCTTGCCTAAGGGCCTGCTACCTGAATGACTTACCTCTCAGGGTTTAAGATACAAAGTTTACACTGGCCGAGGGCTTGGACAAGTGGAAAGTGCTCTTCCTGTGTCAATTGGTGGCTCTCTAGGGCAGGGACAGCCCTACTCTGGCCAAGCCCTAGCCAAGCTTAGCCCACATGCATAGGGCTGGTGGCAGCACTGAGCTCCAGCGACCCAGGAAAATTCAATGGTGAGAGAATGTGGATCATTTCTAGACACTTGCTCTGTGTTTCTGAACTGTCTTCAGTGACTTTCCCTGTCATTAGTTTACCTTCTTTATCTCCCTCTGGTCATTAAAGTGATGAACCCTGTAGTGATACAAATCACTACTTTTTCCTCTCTTCACTGTCTGCCCAAGTTAGGAAATTTTAGCAGCACTAGACCACCTGGATCAGGGCGGTGAGGGCTGCTCTGCTCCTTGCCAACCTTCAAGCCCCTCCTAGTTGGAGAGGAAGGAAGAAGAGGCTGATCTGATTGAGAAGAGCCTGACATGCCCTCAGGCAGGCCCACATCTGAGTGGGTGGGATTCTTCTGCCTTAAAAATAGAGAAAGAGAGTCAGGACACAAAAACTGCTTTCCAAGAGCAGATCTGGAAGGTTGCTTTCCTGTCTCTGTTCTGTCTGAGACTAGGTCTATGAGGCAGAATTTGGTTCTCCAGACAACGGCCAGTGGACTGTCCTTCCCTAAGGCAAGGGCCCCAAACCTGGATCTGGAAGGAGAGAGCAGGAAGGCCCATTTTAGACACAAGTTTAAATGGCATTCTCCACTTGGTTTGGAGAATGCCAACCAAGTAAAGGTTTGGGAGAGGCAACTCTGGGAGTTGGCAGGCGTCCCCTTAATAAAGCTGTGATCTTCATCTGATGTTTTGGGTGTGTTTCAAATTGATCAAAACCTAGAGAGGGGGAATGTTATTGGTAACCCAAACTTCTAGCATGAGGTTTTGAGGTGCTTTTGAAGTGGAATTCAATTGAAATTCCCTTATTTTCCAGAACAAGCAAAATTTAATTCTACTTATAACATCGTAACTATTAACAGACACATTTCAAATGATGGAGAAAGAACATACTGTACATATGAGAAGTTACTAGATTTGCACCTAACACTGACGGGATGGAAATTAATTTTCATTTAATAAGGACGAACAGTATTTGTTCCACTCCTCCTTGAAACTGTTTAATAATGCTATTTCCCAAGATTTCCAAACTGGGGATGTGTTTAGCTGGCAATGTATTTCTTTAAATGCACTGCAGTTTTTAGGCTCATTTCCTGTTTTTTAGAGATGATGCATGCCTATGCAGCCTCTTCTAACGTCAGTGTAATCCTCTGGGCAACTTGAGGTTTACAATGTACACAAAATTCACAGGGCTGTGAATGGCCCCAGCTGGCCCCACTGGCCCTGGATGCATTTCTTACTTTGGGCCACAACAGGAGTATGTATAAGATCTAATATGAGAATTATCTTACGGCTGCCCTACAGACCCTCCTAACCACAGAGTAACTGCAAGGGGAAGGCCACATCTCGTGTCTGAACATCATCCCGAATGAGTTTTCCGTTCAGATTAGAAGATTAAAAAATAAACAAAATATGACTGAATCAAGATGCAACTTGATGAAACAAGACATGGTTATGTGATTTGAGTTATTGTGTTTTTACTAAGAGGACACCTTACACCGAGCACTTATCAACTTAGGGAGAAAAAAATGGGGAGTGGCGAATTTTACAGAAATCAATTTGAGTCAATAAGAGAAACGTTATGATACATAAACAACACAGAAAAATTCCAAATCCTTCTAGGCAGGGCAAGTCCTTCCCATTTCAGCTTGCCAACTCTGGGAATGCTTTCCATCTGGGGCTCGAGCCTCATCTCTCACCTGTGGAATTGGCCCTGTCTGAAAGGGACAGGGATGTGCCAACGGGCCACGGGCTGCCCGGGTGGTAGAGATGACTGCGAGCTGGAGAAGCGAGGCTGCTGGAGTGGAAATGATGGTGAGGGTTATCGAGGGGATGGATGGGATGGGCACTAATCACAGCTGTGGATGAACACAAGACAGAGAAGTGCTTAACATGCTTGCACAGACACACACAAGTCACAGTTCCAAGCAAAGCCACCCCTGCCCCTCCCACACAGTACAACCATTCCCTTGGCTTCTGGGGGGCAGCTGGTTGGTGTGAACAATTAGCCATGGATTTTACTTTTTTTATTTTTTTAAATCAACATGCTCCTAAGCACGTATCTATCTATCTATCTATCTATACACACATACACACACACAAAAACTTCTGAGGAATACACACTAAAATGTTAATGGGATTATCTTGGGGGATAGCATGGTCAGGAGTTAAAAAAAAAAAACTTCTCTTGGTTTATTTGTATTTCCAATTCCTCTACAATAAACATGGATTACATGAGTTATTAAAAATATCTATTTGAATATGTTACAAAATATAAATCCATAAGCAAACAAATGATGGTTTAGGTGTCTATCATTTTTTTCTCCTGCTAAAAAAATAAAAGTTTCTTTTCCTTCGAGTATATTCCTAATACATTCTGTTTTTTTCTTATTGTTGAATGAGGCATGCAATAGGTATTTAGGTTGAATGGACGAGTTTAAACAGTTTAATCAGTTAATCAGTTCTTCCTATCTTAAAAGGAACATAAATAGAACTGAACTCGTCTAGCATGAAAAGCATGAAACACAGGTCTATGGCACCGTCTCTTAACTGCTTCTAGTCTGGGAGCTCGGCCACATCCATTCACATTTTAAAATATAAACGGTTCTTTCCTAATTGCATCCTTCCTTCCCACATTGGCTAAGGAATTAAATTTGCTGCATTTTGCTAACGAATCCAAATTTCCACACAGATATTCCATACATAACTTTCTATGAAGACAAAACACTCCTTTAATGAGGCTTCATTATCGATCCTAGAGATGCAAACAAAATCAGAAGCCCAGTTGGGGCTTCTCTTAGGTACGCCCTTGGAGTAGTTTTAGAAACAGAACGTTTAAGACCAGCAGGACAGCTCTAAATCCCTCAAAGAGGCAAAGAGGTGGGGCTGACTAGGAACACAGGGGACCTTTTTTTCCCTCTAAGCAAGGGCTTCAAGAACTGTGATAAAACTTAATTAGCCTTTGGAGTCTATTAAATGTCTCTGTCACCAAGGATCTCCGTAGATCTTTGTGGGGCCACTCAACATTACTCTAGTGAAGAAAAATTCTAGACACTTTTATTCTCCAGCTATTTCTTGCCCTGGCCACTTGCCAGACAGGCAGATGGCACAAGCAACCACGGGCCCTGGAGTGTCACTGCTCCTTCCCTCCTTAAGGTTTGGGGAAAAAAACAGGGGCATTCCCGGCACTCAGAGGCCAGAAGGCTCAGGTGGTCCTTAGGAACCAAACCCAACTTGGAAAAGCCAGCAGAGGAGATTCAGGGTAATCTGGGAGGCAGCACCTCCTTTAGGGGAAGAGAGGTGGTCTTCTGAAGCAGGAAGCTTCAGCATCAGTATTTTGTAGAATTAAGGTCAGGGGGAACAGAAGAAACCTCCTGACTTTTACCTAGGAAGTACAACCTGAGAAGCATTCTCAGTATGAATCAGAAAGTCACAGAAGTGACTTTCTCTTTTTAAAGGCATTTCCAGTCTTTCCAAATTGGGTATATAAAAAAGAAGACAATGTGAAAGCACCTCCCTAGAACACAGCCAGCAATCACTAGCTGTCAGTTGCCTTGGGTTCTGGCGCTTCTGAGCAAGGCCTTGTACAAGGCTGACTGAACCTCCGTCCAGTGTAGCCAAGTGCTTCCCAGCAGTGCTCAGCTGCTGAAGGCCAGGTGGGTGGCTAGTGAGACAGACTCCAGCAGAACCCAGCCTGAGAAAAAGGACTGGAGCCAGGTGGGGAAAAGGAGATCTCACAAGCATACTGGAATACCGGTTTTCAGAATCTTGAATTAAAGAATCCACTCACTCTCCCACCTACTGAGGCACAAATTAAATAATACTGTATTATTTATGGGTACTCCTTGCCCATCCCCCAAAAAAGAAAAAGAAAAAAAAAAAAAAAACTGATACCAACTGGTACAACATATCTTTTCTCCTTAACATTTAAAAAGAAGCCAGTTCAGGTAAAAACCAAAATCTTGTACGAAACAAATAAGCAGTCCCGCTATCATCCTGCTATACATCAAACACAACTGCAATGGGTTTATCCTTTTCAGACACTTATATTTTTAGACCTGGGACCCCAGCCACGGCACCTCTCATAAGAGGGAAACCATGATTTATTTTCCCTGCATGCTTCCAAGTTCAGGCCCTTCTTTTTTCATCATGGTCCCTACTTTGTGCAGAAATGACCTGCTAATCAATCAGTCCTTTCTCTTCCAAAGCTGACTTTTAGAATCTAGCATCTACATGTCTGTGCACAGTGACTGTGACAGTGTGTGTGCATTTACACACCTGGATGTTTCACCAGTTTCCAAGTATAGGGAGCCATGGTTTACTTCTTTGGTGTGTAGGGTATCTGTGACTATTTAAATCTCTGTCACTTGTTGACAGAGAGGTGGCTGAGAGTTCTGAAATGGGACATCTTAAGAAATTAATAAAAAACTCAAAAGCTCATTTAGGTTAAACTGAAAAGTGATCGAGTGGATGCTTTCAGGATTTGAATCTAGGTGTCTGACTGCTTACTGGGTATCTGTTCAGCTTACAACAAATACTTCTGGTACAGAACTGGAAAAACTTGTTATCAGTAGGTAGGTGGCTTTTTCACTGTAGGATGGCACAGGGGACCCTCACCTGAAAGCCCCACCGTGCTAGCCGGTCTGAACAGCCGCCCTACCTTGAAAACAGTGACAAGGGAGAAGACACAGTAGTGTGAACAAAAGCATTGGTTTGTTCCATTGTTTTTTGGTTTTCAAACTTACTTTGAATTTCAAATATTATTAAAGGAGGCCGAGTAACTTTTATGCTTATCAAAGTGAGGCATGGTCAATTAAGGTTGACAAATTTTGTTGCAAAAACTCTGTTCTGTAAACTTAAAAATCCTCTAAAATATAAAGTCAATTAATTAAAAAAATGACAGGTGTCCATCAACACTGAATGTGTATCAGGAAGTCTAAGGAACACTGTGACATCCGGCTATCCTTAGCTCCAGCCTGGAATGACACTTCTCCATCCTCCTGTACAGATGCTGTGCTTACTGTTAGGGAGACTGGTTACTTCTCTGCTCCTGGGAGACTGGGGTAGTTGGCTTTTTAGCTTATTTATCTCAAGAAAGATATAAATTGCAAAATACGAAAGTGTCTGGTATTTCTTGCCAAGGTGCCAAAGCCTCAGTGGGTCATCTTTTGTGTCAGGATCACATGAAATCAAAGACATCATTTGTAGTGGCTCCCCAGGACAACTGGGTAGACTGGCAGCACAGGGGAAATGAGAGGTTTTCACTTACGCTGGGGTGGCTGGGAGTCAAAGGGCATCATCATTTTTGGTCTCATTCCCCGCCTTCCAGCCAGTGTAGACATGCTGTCCTCTGATTCATGCCCTAGACAGCAAATATGGAGGTTAGTTATAAGCATGTGCCCCAGGCCACTAAGCAGCCTCAGCGGTAAAACACTCCCGGTGGAGGGGTCAGAACTTGCAAACAATATAATGGGGACAAGATGCTTCTGCAGGAAGTGAAAAACGAGAAAAATGATCAGGAGCCCCTTAGAGGAGTCTCTGCTGAGAGTCAGTGCAGTTGACACAATGTCGCCTACCACGCTTCAGTCTGGAGTTGGTGTCCAGACCAAGAACATTCTGACCACCACAAAGAGAGGCAGACTTTAAAGGAAGGGAGAGGATGAAATGTACAGACATAGGTGAGGTTGTCTCAAATGCTTCGGTATCAAGTTGCTGACACCTGAGAAGAGACCTAACGGATCTAGAAGGCTGTCTCATCTGGGCATGGAACCTCTCCCCAGTAACAAGCTATGTTTTTCCAAACTATCTATTCTTTATCAGATGTTGACCAAATCCCACAATACACATTTCTTTAAACCTAACCTCACATAGGAATCGCCGAATTCAGGCAACTGTAGGAAATGGAAAATGATTTAAATGGAAATAGTTCTCCCACATTTGGGGACAACCTGCACCTCTGTAAGAATTCCGCCTTTGATGGATGTTGCTGTCCATGGAATTGTCAACTGGTGTGATATCTTGAGAGTTACGAGGAATTGGAGTATCAGTCATGATAGGGTTTGGGTCTGGAGACTTATCGATGGGTTTCAGCTCCAGTCTCTCATGATGGATCCAGAGGTCCGGGGGTTTGACATCTTTGGAGTTCCCTTTGTACTTGTGGGAGCCGTTCACTGATTTGCAAGCAGCTCGTTTCCTAGGCAAAAATTTAAGAGGGTTTTTTTTTTTTTTTTTTTAAGATTTTATTTATTTGACACAGAGAGAGAGATCACAAGCAGGCAGAGAGGCAGGCAGAGAGAGAGGAGGAAGCAGATTCTCCACTGAGCAGAGAGCCCAATGCAGGGCTCTATCCCAGGACCCTGAGATCATGACCTGAGCCGAAGGCAGAGGCTTTAACCCACTGAGCCACCCAGGTGCCCCGAGGGTTTCTTTTTTTTTTTAAGTAACTCTTTTGAACTTATTTGTGAAAAGGCTTGAATGATTAAAACCGCCCTTCTGAGAGATGCCTTAAGCAAAGGCAGAAACTAAAAACACACATGCAAAACAACAGAAGAAGGGAAAGAAGTTTACTTTTGTGAACAGTAAAGGTATCTCTGCTTTGTCCACACATATTTCAAGATACATACAAGGGCATATTTGACTACTGCATTGTGATTTTTTTTTTCAAAATTATCAACAGACTAGACAGCATTTTAAAATTAAGTTGTCTCTAAAGCAGAAGGTTTCTCAACTTCCAATTAATATAGAGAGAACACTAATTAGAAATATAACATTGGAAGAGGTGGAGTCAGTGCCTCATAAAAGAGGAAGGGAACATTTCAGGGAACCCAAATCTAGGACTACCAAATGGATAAAAATGAAGAATGGATGACAGCGCCTACTTTTCTGTGCCTTAGTTTCTCTATTCACCCACTCAAACTCACTTACCCACTCAATAAGCATTTATTAGGTACCCACTGTATGTCAGTCAATCCCTGTACTGGACTGCTGTGCCCTCAGCATTTCTGGTCAAGTGAGGAAGACAGATGTTGATCTCATTATTTTAAAATATTCTGAGCTTAGTGAAATGCCAAGTGTTACAGTTATTTTTTAATAGTTGGCATAAGGTGGCTAGGACAAAGCTGGAGAAAGAAGTGACACTGAAGTTAAGACTTAAAGGAGGAAGGGAAGAAGATGCTTTGCAGGTGATTAAATCAGCTTATGTCAAAGCCTTGAAGCAGAACACAACAGCCTGGTATATCAGAGGGCCCGTAAGAAGTCCTGAGTGGCAGAAGCACAGTGAACAATGTGGAGAATGATGAAATGATGCTGCAAAGGTAGCCTAGACCATAAAGAGCTTTTGGAGACCTGCCAAGAGTTTGACTTCCATCTATGAGATGAGAAACCACTATGTGGTTTTAAGCAGAAGAGTAAGGAGACCAATTCTGAGTTAAACAATTTCTCCAACTGCAGTATGAAAAATGGATTTACGGGGTGGGGGAAAGAATAGGAGACTAGTTAGGATACTACTGCACCAGTCTTAGCCATGGCTGACAGTGGTCTAGGACAGTGGAATGGAGAGAAGAGGCAGATTTGACATCTATTTAGGAGGCAGAAATGACAAGATTTGGTGAATAAATGATGTGGGGTGGGGTGGGGTGGGGTGGGGTGGGAGTAAAGAAGCAAGAGTTTGAGGCTAAGTCATTTACTAATATTGGAATTAATGGAGGTAGAAGCAGGCTTGACAGAAAAGATTACAAATTCTGTCTTGAACATGGTGAGTGCCCCTGAGACATTCAAGAGAAAATATAGAAGAGGCAACAGAGTGTGCAAGTCTGAGACTCAGAGAGAGGCTTTGGCCAGAGATAGAAACACAGAAGTTACTGGAATGCAGACAGTAAATGAAGCCATGGGAGTAGATAGCACTGGGGGAGACCATAGGAGAAGTAAGTCTAGGATCAGGTCCCGAGGAAGGTCTGATGGCTGGTTAGATAGGAGGAGATGTGAAAAAGAATATAAAATCATGATATACAGGAGAAGAGAGTATTTCATGAAGGAAGGAGTAGCTGAGTTAAATACTGCTGAGAGATTAAGACAAGGACGAAAAAAATGTCTCCTGGCTTTAACAATGCGGAGGTCATCGGTCCTCAGCAAAAGCAATTCAGTGAAGTGGTAGGAGCAGAATCCAGATCGATAAGAAATGAAGCATCAGCAGGCAATGAAAGAATGCACGAGTATATACAGTAATCAAGAGATTCTGTGGTGATGGGAAGGATGGCTTTGTAAACAGCTAGTGGGGAGTAGAATACGGGTTGTAATTATAATGATTTAAGATAAAAGAGGTATAAGCACACTTACCCGTTGAAGAGACAAAGCCAAGAGAGTGAAAGGTTAGCTGTGTGGAGGGGAGAACAGCAAGTATAAGTTCTTAGAAAGATGAGAGCCACTGAGATCCAGAGGGTTAATGGAGAACTGGCTTCCGGTAGGAGGAAGTACACTGAAGGAGGTTTTGGATCACATGGTGGTACCTGGAGGTAGTTCTCATCTGCTAAGGGTGAGGTAGCTAATGAGGAATGTGTCGAGAAGCAATGAGGGGCTAGGCTGTAAATGCTCGGTCAGCTTTGAGTTTTAAGTGTCCATAAGCAGCTACAATTGAAATGGGAGATACTTCCTCAGAGGGGAAAACAAGTATGAAGAAAAGCTCATACATATTTTTCAGTGGTTCATGGAATGGCTGGAAAGATGGTCATTGGGAGAGGGAGAGGAAAAGCCCCATGAAGACTCGACACAATTCTTCTAAGCAAAAGGACTCAAATCTGTAGGATCTGCAGATTCAAAGTACAGAGCCTCTTACTTCCTCCCTTTTCTACCTCTCAATCTGAAGACTAAGAGCTTCTCTAAATTTCCTTTTAAATCCCCAAAGCACTAAGGAATTCCATCACTTTGTTTTTTAGATTCTTTTAAATAAAGATATCAAGATTTCTGAAACTAGATATAAAACCAAGTTCATGAAAGTAGATACATTTGAAATGCGGAACAAAGAAGCCTGCAGACAAGTTCTAGAGTAGAAATAACATCATTGCTGACCTGGTTAAGGGAAACGGTTTTCCATATCAAAAGACAGGGAGAGGTTTAAGAGGCAGTGACCAGAAAGTTTATAAAAGGAGCCCCCTGCTCCCTTGGAAAAGATGCAATGCAAGCTATGGTAAGCTATTTTGTTTGGGCAAAAGAAAAATTGAAAACCTCACAAAAACATACACAAAGTGACATAAAGCCATCTCCAGTGGCAATGACAGGGCAGTCTGTACTTGTCCTCTATACTGAAAACAAACATATTTATTGTCATTAAACACATGCATTGTCTTGCCTTGGGCAAACCAAGTCTGAGGGATAATCATAAACAATGACGTGAACTTGCCTTTCTCTTTTATGGAGCAATATCTCTATCTTGTCATCTTTTAGGATCCACCAATTAAAGTCATTTTATTGCCCACATGTGTTTTTTGCTATTAGGGGTAACTCAGGAATCTTTTTATTTTTGGTATTCTGTCTCGCTGGCCAGATGCTGTATGTGAGGTGAAAGTTGTCTAGGGTCAGGGATCCTCTTAAGTTTAGGAGCATAGGCTGTTATCAGACAGTCTCATAACTGAGTCACCTTGCTATCTGCTCTAGACAATTACAACTCTCAACATCCCAGAGGAGTTCAGGGCTCACGATCATTTGACCCCTCTGCTAATTTGATATGCCAATTATAAATGAGACTATCTTATTCACTAAATTAGTATTCTCCCTCCACTGTCCCTGCCAGTCCTAAGCTTCCACACTTGGTAGTCCTTCTTGAAAAAAAAAATTTTTAAGGATTTTAAAATTTATTTTAGAAAGAAACTCAAGCAGACTCTGCACTGATCATGGAGCCTGACATGGGGCTCAGTCTCACGACCCTGAGATCATGACCTGAATTGAAATTAAGAGTCAGAGGCTCAACCATCTGAGACACCCACTCACCCCTTGAAAAATATTCTTAAACTTAGATGTAGAATAAGAGGTCTACGGTCCTCTTCCATTTCAGGTGGCATCTGTGCCGTGAAAAAGCCTGTAAGAATGCCCCTAAACTCCTGGGTGTCTGGCTCACCGTGTGCTTACACAAACAGCAGCTACCGGCAAGGCTGGACATGGTCCACTTCCCTCTCCAGACCTCTCCTCTCCTTGGCTCTGTGACTCAAGAGGTTGAGTTAAATGACCTCTATATGCCTTACTTGGCAACCTGCTCCTGGTTTCTGATGGGTCTGGCTGAGTGAAGACACAGTCAAGAGACTGGAGAGTAGCAGGTGTTTTTATCCTGTCCCCTCCCTGTAGCACTAGAAGCTGACAGAGGACACCTTCCTTCCACCACACCCAGCTCCTGTCAAGAAGCCCTTTCCTACTGCTTCAGACTTCTGAACATGGCTCTCTGTTCTTCAGGAAGACCTCTTGCCCTCTCAGGCCTAAGGGTGACAGTGGCCTATCATGGCTACTGGTCCTTAAACATCTCTGTCTCGTCTCCTAGCCCCACCTGTGACTCTGTGAACAGTCCCCTCATTAAACTTCCTTCCCCCGTTTTGAGTGTGCACCTTTTTCCTGCCAGAACACCAATACACATTTATAAGAAGAACCATTCTGCATTTCACTTACAAATATTTAAAACATCACCTTTCATGCACAGTTAACCCTTGAACTACATGGGACTGAACATGGGAGTCTGCTTACATGCAGACTTTTAAAAAAGTTTTTACTTAAATTCCAGTTAATATACAGTGTAATATTAGTTTTGGGCATACCATATAGTAATTCAACACATCCATACATCACCGGCTCCTCACAAGTGCCCTCCTTAATCCCCTTCACCTCTTTTACCCATCCCCCGCCCACCTCCCTTCTGGTAGCCTCAGTGTGTTCTCTGTAGTTAATAGTCTCTTTTTTGGTTTGCCTCTTCTCCCCCCCTTTGCCCATTTGTTTTGCTTAATTTCCACATGAGTGAAAAATCACATGGTATTTGTCTTTCTCTGAATGACTTACTTCACTTAGCATAATACTCTCTAGCTCCATCCATGTAGTTGCAAATGGCAAGATCTCCCTCTTTTTTATGGCTGCGTATTTCAGTGTGTGTATACACACACACACACACACACACACACACACACACACACACACACTCACTGCATCTTCCATTTTTCCTCCTCATATCCAGGGTTAGAGTTGGGGCCAGCATGAGGGTATGTGCCTAATATCCTACAGTTCAGAGACCTCTCTAGAGGGTTACGGTTAGGGGTTAGGGTTTGGGCTAGTGTATGTACCTGATACTCTATAGTTCAGAGATCTCGCCAGAGAATAAAACCCCAGACTTCTGCTTGGGCAGGAAGAGACATGCAGCCATCTACTGGGCTGAGGCAAGGAAGGGATTTGGGGCTCTAAATATGCTTTAATAGGTACTCAATTTTTCTTTCTGTTTTTATCTTTACCTTTACATCCATTTTCAGAAATACCACCAATTCTTAAATATTTGGGGGTCTTCTCCAGAATAACTGGGCTGCTTCTCAGCTTTTCTTATCATGTGTTCAGGAACCCACTTTCCAGATCTAGGATTAGGGTTAATGCTTGGTATCCATGTGTGGACTATTTTTGATAAATACAGTATAGCACTGTAAATGTATTTTCTCTTCTTATGATTTTCTTAATCACTCTTTTTTCTAGCTTTCTTTTTTGTAAGACTAAAAAAATATATATTTTGTCTATAATACATATTATATATGTGATATATTTATGTGATATATAATATGTATTATATATAATATATAACATACAAAATAGGTGTTAATAGTTTATCAGTAAGGCTTTTAGTCAATAGTAGGCTGCTCGTAGTTAAATTCTGCCGAAGTCAAAATTTAAAATTTATATGTGGATTTTTGACTGCATGGGGGGGGTGTCAGCACCCCCTAATCCCTACATTGTTTAAGGGTCAACTATACTGAATGTTTAATCTCTTTGTACAACTCCAAATACACAAGTCACAGAGGAACAAAAGAATAGATAACAAAAATCATGGGCCACATTTGGGGCTCCTTACTTTTTCTGGTGAGAGGTGGTGCGCCTGGTGCAAAAGACAGCAATGACCACAACCACCACAATGGTGACAACGCCGACAGAAACAATGATGACCAGCAGCATGCTACTGTCCAAGGGAGAGGTGGGGCTTCCATGTGGGCTGTTACTACCTGTAGAGGGAAAACCAGTATGTCTGTTAGATTTCGAGAATTCAAAAAATGCATACACTCAGAGTATGGAAACTTCATGTGAGAGTCTCTGTAACACACTCATCGCCTTGGATACAAGTGTCTCATGCAATCTACAGAGCCAAGGCTATGTACTTGCACAGTTCTTAACACAGTGCCTTGCACAAAGCTGGTGTTTAGTGATGGCTTCCTGAATTAAAGTAAACATTATACTTGGATAAATAAAGGGCCTGCCCCCCGCCTGGTATCTTATGTTGTCTTACGCATAAATTTGTCTTATAAAGCACCATTTGTAAATCATTTAGATCATGACTTTCAAAAGCATTTAAAAAATGTACACTCAGAGAAAGCTAAGTTCTTCTCCACATTCAGATGTCTGAGATCACAAAAACTACTTGAAAAATACAGTCTGGGAAAAAAAAAAAAGAAAAATACAGTCTGCTTTTATAAATATAGTCTTTGCAAAGTTAATTCTCTTAATCAGTTTCAGGAAAGAGTAGATCTGTACATATGCATTAGTTTGACAAATATTTACTGAGTAGTTACTATGTGCCAGGCATTGTTCTAGGTACTAAGGATGCAACAGTGTACAACAAAGATATGACTGCTGGTGTACAGGCAAAAAATAAACAAGAAATTATTAGTAATAACTGCTAAGAAAAAAAATAAAATGAGGGGATATGATACAGAGTGGGTGGCTATTTTAGGCTGAGTGGTTGGAAAAAATTTCTCTGAGGAAATGGCATTTGAGCTGAGATTTGAGTGACAAGAAAGATCCCACCATGCGAAGATCTGGAGGAAGAATGTTCATGAGAGATGGAACAGCTAGGGGAAGGATCCTAAGGCAGGAATGAGCTTGGCATGTTCAGGGAAGAGAAAGGCAGCAGTGTTGCTCAAGCAAGGGGAGAGAAACAAAGTTAGAGGGAAGAGAGTGAGTAGGAAAAGACAGAGATGAGTGTACAGAGGCCAGATCATTGAAGACCCTGAGGAAATTTAGCTTTTCTTCTTTTTCTTCCTGTTATTATTTCCTCGTTGCTTACAGGATGAGGGCCGTTTTGTATCAAGGCCTCTTGTAATCTAGCTGTATTCTAACTCTTGTTCTTCTATTTTCTGAAACACATTTCTTTCCTTCCCACCTCATTATAAAAGTCACACATGCTCATTTATAAAACATGGGAAATCCCACCACATGGTTCTGACTGCCATTGATAGCTGATGTCTTTCTTTCCAGCTATTCTCTCTCTCCTGTTTAACAGTCAGAGCCGCACAATAATGGATGAGCTGCCTTACCAAGTAATGAGTATTTAGTTTCTAGAAGTGTTTAAGAAGAATCTTTCTACAAGTCTGGGAGACTGTGGAAGAAATTCCTAACATGAAGCTCTGGCTTGGGAATCTGTGTTTTAGGAAAGCCTTTCAAGTGATTCCCAAATACAACCCTGGTTTACAAACTTTTTATCTAATTCAAGGTGTACTTATAGTGGGAACCCCTTCCATAACTGCATTAGCTGACCTCCCAACTTCTGATCGTATGGTTTTTATAGGCTACATCCACACACAGTGCTAAAATCTGGGCTGATTTAGGAGGGCTTGACAGCTTCTTCTTCTCCATTTGGTTTAATCGTTTTTATTCCTCATTTCTGAGAAAAAAAAGTAAACAGATAGACAACTTAAATTGTACATATTAACTTTTTTTTTTTAAGATTTTATTTATTTATTTGACAGAGAGAAATCACAAGTAGGCAGAGAGGCAGGCAGAGAGAGAGGGAAGCAGGCTCCCTGCTGAGCAGAGAGCCCGATGCGGGGCTCGATCCCAGAACCCTGGGACCATGACCTGAGCCGAAGGCAGAGGCTTTAACCCACTGAGCCACCCAGGCACCCCCATATTGACCTTTAATAAAACATTTTTACATTTGGGAAAGACTACAGAACTAGGGGCCAATAAAGTTAGACCATACTGGGCCTTTAACTGAAAAGCTTTTATTAAGAAGAGTGCCGAGTTACTGGGCAGGGTGTGTGGTGGGGCAGGCCCTGCACTCAGAGCTGGGGAGCTGGGGCACAGGGGCCAGCAGAGGTGGTGGCGGCAGCTCTCCCCTGCCAGAGATGAATTCCCACTTAACTGTATCTGCCCTCTAGCTTCTGAGAGGACTGAAAGCTCCCACTGAAGAGAGGGTGAGAGCGAGCTGCCGAGGGAGCAGGTCCTGCCAGGGACATTATGACAGGCCATTTCTCAAGCCTCATATGGGCTACTGCAATAGCTGCTTAACCACTCTCTCTGACTTCATTATCTCAGCCCCAACTCTTTCTTCATTCACTAGAGTCATAACAGTCGGTACTCAAGAAACGGAGATCACAGCTCACCCGTGGTACAAGGTGTCTTACACATGCTACGAGCAGGGTGAAGCTCACATTTCGCAGCAGTGGTACCTGAGCTTCTGGAAGGCTGGTTCTAACCTCCCACCTGGTCTAATGCGACAATCTCCAGCCTGCCTCCAGGCGGTGTGATCCCTGGAGAGAGCCGGCTGGTTTTGGCTGCCATGCATTTGCACGTGCTGTTGGTGCTTCCTGAAATGCTCAACACTCCCCACCCTGTGACATTTAGCCATCTTCCACGCATCCTTTCATATCTGGGTCAGACTTCCCCTCTTCTATGAAGCTTTCCCTTTCCAGTTGCTTTGTTACTCACTGCTTTTTGCTCCCATACATAGCCTGTTACATAGAACCTGAACCTTCATAAACATGGGTGAATGAATGAATGTATAAATGAAAAACAAGGAAACAGCTGCTTTCCTCACAGCCTTGAATATTATACCATGGAATGCACATAAATACAACACACGCATCCTAGGGGGAAAAGCGCAGAGTCCTAGAACTCAGCCTAGGACTCAGAATCCCACATCTGGTACAGAACCCCAGGCCTTCTAGGCTGTGTGTGACAGTGGAAATGTCACAATCAGGAGATGGAAGCCCTGGATTTTGGTTCTAGGACTTCCTTAATTAGTGGGTGAGTTCAGGCATATTACTTCTCCACTGAGTCTTTTTTTTTTTATTAAAGATTTTTATTTTTATTTATTTATTAGACAGAGAGAGAGAGACCATAAGTAGGCAGAGAGGCAGGCAGAGAGAGAGGGAGAAGCAGGCTCCCCACTGAGCAGAGAGCCCAATGTGGGGCTCAATCCCAGGACCCTGGGATCATGACCGAAGCCAAAGGCAGAGGCTTAACCCACTGAACCACCCAGATGCCCCTCCACTCAATCTCTTAATGTGTAAAATGGGAATATCTGTTCTCTGTGCTTTACAGTGTTATGAGGATCAAATATAATTTCAGGTGTGAAAGTAACTTATAAATAGTGAAGTTCTGTAGAGAAGTAGGTGCCATCATTTAAGGAGTTAGAAGGCATCAGCTCTTAAGCTGGCTAGGAGAGTGGGAAGAATTTTTTAGAATTCCCAAATTAAAACACTGTGGTAAGCAGTGTGGAGAGAAAGTCAGGAAGCATTTCTTTGGCTTATTCTAGGTGATAGATAATCCCATTAGAGGGTTTATTTTTGAGAACAAGATTCTAATTCTTTTCTAGAGGCAGGCAGTGGGCACAAAGGAAGACTCATTTGTTTAGAACTAATCTTACTTTAAGTTGGGTATGTGGGGAAAACGATCTTATTTATGGATCTTATTTATGGATCCTTATTTATGGATAATGAATGGGTTTACAGTAGTTTAGCAGACTTTTGCCAAAAAATGCCTAAAGTTAATTCTACTAAATAAAAGAAAATAGGTTAACATGGTATAACCCACCACAGAGAAAACTACAAAAGACATTTCGAAATTCAAGCAAAACCATGTCATGCCCACAGTGGGGCAAAAAAGCTTTACCGCTCATTGGAGGTTTGTAGTCGGATCCTAGGTCTGGCAGCCGGCTTCCTTTTCCTGCAGACCCTGAGGCTGAGGAGAAGAAATCATGTCAGTAATGACCCAAGCCATTGGTGGGATGAGTCCAATTCACAGCTAGTGAGTGTTTTCTACAAAAAAAATATTTTCAGTCTACTCTGTCCATGAGGAAATTGAAGTAGCACATAAACAACAGGGCACAAAATGGGCTGTGCAAAGCAAACTAAGGTATAGCTTTCTATGCAATGAGGCATCTGAAAGGCTGACCCCCCTTGGGCCATGGCTGTATCTAGTGTGGAAACAGACTGCCACTTGCTGTTCACATGGTGGGAACACACCCATTTCTCTCACCCAGGAAAGTTCCTGCAAGACCACTCAGAGCACTTATGGCAAAAGTAGCTTCTCTCAGAAAAGGAATCAAGGGACCAGTTAGGCTGACTTCTGCATTATGGAAGTGGACTTTTCCAAAGGACCTGGCTATGTTGATCTCCTAGTAGGTGTCAGTAGTGTTTGGATTTTTCCCCCAAATTATAAAGCTGCCTTTTCCAATATAAGGATACCCTAAGCAGGAGCAGGAAGGTATGTGGAAGTTCAAATCAGGTTCGTGGTTCCTGCTCAGTTACCCAAATACCCAAGGATGGAAAAACAAAGTCTTCCCTCTTGTTGCTCACCAAGACACCATCTCCTAATTCACTGTCCTAAAATACAATGAGTGAGGTTGCTGATCTTGGGCTTGGGACCACCTCACAAACAGACTTCATAAAACACAAAGATCAGGTTTTTTTAGTAATTTGTATTCTTGGTCCTGAACTTTATTCTTCACATTTATAGGAAAAGTTGCTTGGGTAAAGCAAATAGAAGGAATCCTTTCCCAATACAGCAAAGGCATTCGTCAATCCAACGTTTGGATTCCTCCTGAAGAAGGTGTGAAAGAACTGTGAAGTCAAAGCTGCTCAAGGTTAACAGAGCACACTGCCTGCACTTGAATACTGGTCTACCACGTACTTGACTTTCGGCAAGTTATTCATTATTCTTGAGTATCAGTTTCTTCATCGCAGAACAGCAATGATAATGGCACCTACTTCACAAAACTGTGTTGAAGATTAAATGGAAATTTACTCCTATAAAATATTCTGAATACTGCCTGACACACAGCAAATGTTCAACAAATGTTAGCTACTATTATCACATATATAATAAAGTTTTAGGGAAGAACATCACCTTTCCCTTTGCAGAGGCACAGAGCATGAAGCTCCAGAAAACACTTATAAATAATTATTTCTACAAATAAAGCTTTACTAGAAATATACAAACTAGATTCGTTTCTATAAAACATTACAGCTAATGTCATATCAGAGTTGGACTAAATGGAAAAATTAAAATCTGAACATTTCTGTATATAGTTCACTTAACAGAATAAATACAGAGATGAAAACAATGTTTTGTTTCCAGAAGTTCAAAACTCCCAAAGAAACAGAAGTTGTTGTGTACCTAAAAGGGCATATTAAACTCAGTCCCTGATCCTTTTTCTGTTGTCCATACTTGTTCCTTCATCCCCTGACTTCCGTGGCTGTGACTGCTCCCAAATGGTACACACCGTATGTTAGGGGTCCAGCTGCTCTTTTCACTGGGATGAAGTCTAGGGGCTAAGCCATCTCCATGGCTTAGCCCCCGTGAGGCTCTTCAGACTTAAGTGTGCTTACTTTTTAGGGAGCCCACATGTGAGCCCAACTATCCAGAGTATCATGTTATGTAAATAATTGCCAAAGAGTGTATTTTGCCAATAAAATGGTTGGTTTAATTCCCCTAATTCCCAGTATTTTTTCTTTTAAATATAACCTATGAATAGAAATTCCAAGGATTAACCAAACACCAAAAAGAACTATAGGTAAAAAGTTTTAAAGGCCAGAGGAGTGGCACAAGCAAGACTCTGGCTTATCCAGTGGGGATAAGAGTGGGGGAGAACAATGAGCACATTTGTACTCCGTGTGCACACAGTATAGTTACTTTCCTGTTCTCACACTTAAGTCAAAATGTCCACCATCACTAGGGTGCCTTACGCATACACACATCCAACATACAACAAAAGACTCATTGAGTGCAAATACATTTCCAAAGCCCTGAAACATGCAGCCTCAAGTCTGACTCTTCCTTGCCATTAACAAGATCCAAAGACGACTTCTTTCTTCTTCTTCTTTTTAAAAAATCTTTTAATAAAAGGTTTTATTAAGTAATCTCTACATTTAATGTAGGACTCAAATTCACAACCCCAAGATCAAGAATCGCATGGTCCACCAACTGAGCCAGCCAGGCACACCAAGACTTTTTATTTTTAAAAACTACTCTTAAACCTTGAAAGCAACCATCAACTTTACTTCCACTGCTCTCAGTATAGAGAACAGATACCAACTTTAGCTGACTCTTCAGAGATGAAAACCACAGTCTAGTTACCTCTTCACCATCTCAATTACAGTGGAAAAACTATGCTGACAGACAATTTCAAGAATGGTGACACTCAGGCCTACACTTTCTAACTTTCCATCTTAAATTGTTCCTATCTCTTTTAAAATGAGCAGATGTATTTAAGGGAAGAAACAGAAAAAGAGCTCTGAGTTAAGCTTATTTAACAGAATAAATAGTACTAATTCTGTCCCAGATTATCACACAATTCAGTAGGGTAAATGTGTAGATTCTTGGTCAGGGTCGGGGAGGAAAATAGGGTATTTGCGGAATTTGATTACCACTTTTCATCTAGAGATACTGATGCAATCCTAGATGCTACGAGTATGACAAACTGGTATGCTTGTTGTCATACTGGTCCAAATGCCTATCATGGTTACAGAATTTCAGTATCATAGCACAGAGGACAAAGGGACCCACACTTAAGGCCAATCTCCTACAGCTGCAGAACTCCATTTACTCTCCTCAGTTTCCCCCTATTTAGCTCCTAAGTCAATTCCCAGCTTTTCAGATACCCCAAGTGCCACAAACATGGACTCAACTCCACTTTGGCCAATGAATAATGTGGATTTTAACACACAGTACTGATTTTCAGGGGGAAAAAAAAAGAAACAAAAACACAAAATGCTAGTAAGAGTAGGTCACAAAAAAGAGGAAAGGAGAGAGAGGCCATCTACTGATTTACCTTGATCATTAGGCATTTTATCAGAGGAGTCCGCTAACAGGCCAAGCACAGGGGGAGAAAAAACAAGAGCAAGATCACAAGCTTTGAAGGTGGGACAAGCAGAATTTTTAAAGGAAAAAAAATAAAACCCCACAAACTTCCAAACAAATTGAGTCTTAGTTTCAGTATTAACAGAAAAGAAATCCATACATGGTTTCCACATTTCCACAGACTCAGTCCCCAACTAACTTTATTCCTAGGCTCACTTGGTTCAGTACTTTATCTTCACTGTCTCATCTAGAGTTTTCTTCAAAGCTCTCATTAGTGTCTTTCTCTCCACAAGACTTCCAGGTTAAGAGCCTGCATGTGTTGAAAGGGAAATGTCCATCACAATAATATGCTATTACGCTACCTGAGAACCAAGAGCATCACATCTGATCTGACTGGTTAAAAACTCTTGAGATCGCTGCCATTCACCTGCCTTGAAAAGCCTTGTATGTGACACGGTTAGCCCAGTAACCTAGGGAGCACTGACTTGGTGGTCAATGGGTGGGTGAGGGATCATTTTTAGGGAAATGTTCACACTTCGGTTCATAAGCTCACCATCAGGGCTTCTTATATTCTCCATAGTCTCTATATGCTAAAGTGATAGGTGCAAGCATGGCCCCACTAACGAGACATGGAATAAAACACTATTTAGCGGAGCTTTACCTTTAGGTGTTCTGAACTGGACAGCTTCAGACATGGGCCCCATGCCCTTTGAGTTTCGAGCTTGGATTTTGAAGTAATATGGTGTGTCAAGTGTTAACTCTTGTATCTGGTGAGTCAGCCTGTTTCCCACAACAGGCTCAATAACCCAGTCGTGTAACTCTGCATTCACATCCGTACTATAATATATGATGTAACCTGTCCAAAGGAGGAAATGAGAAAAGATATCTTATTCCTGCCTTTTATTTTGGAATCAGTAAGTCAATAAAGACATATGTTATAGCATATACAAATACAGAACCAGTTACCGATTAAAGTCCAATAGTAAAATGCATTCAAAATGCTACTCTAAACATCATATAGAGAAAAACCACAATTTCAACACTGCCAGGCTGTAAGTTAACATCTGTATTAGCAGTTAAAGCAATAAAAGTAGTTACAATAATAAAAGAGGGTTAAGAACTCTCAGAAACTAAGAAAACAACCCAATCACTTCAACGTCTTAATGTTTGAAAAATGTACCCACCAAGGGTCTACGATTAAAATAATGCACTTTTGAAAACCGACACTGGCCCAGTGTGCTGCTTTAGCTCTCACCAGTATGATTTCCCAGGAGAAAAACTCCGGCAGACCTGGGAGGTGTGGGCGGTACCTTTTACTAAAGCTCTCCCACACTTGGAAGTGAGTGAAGCCACAGGGAAACATGACCCGAGACTCCCACCAGGGGGCAGTCACTCTCTATGGGCGAGGCAAGAAGAAACCACCACATGCCTACCTGACCTACACAGTGCAAAAATGCACTGTTTTTTAAAGACAAAATAAAATGTAATCCAGGTCAAGTCATGCTTCATTCTTTTTTAGAAGAGGTAAGATCAAAAACCTAACAAATGGTACAGATACCTTATGGGAAGGAATTCTAACTGAAAGTCTAAGCAGAACAATATTAAGAAATGCTTTCAGTTTCCTTATTCATCCTTATTCATTCCTTATTCATGCTTTCAGCCCCCTTATTCATACAAAGGAACTTCAGAAAGCAAATGCCTGTTCCTTAGGATGTATCCTAAGAAGCTGTAGTGACATAGAGCAGAGGTTCCAAGGGGAATAATTGACAGCTAAGTCCAGTCAGGCTTTCCTCCCTGATGAAGCTGAGGAAAGCATAGTGTCCTCTACTGTGGAAAGTTCTCTGGAAGACCAAGGAAAAATCCCAGGTCCCTTCAAAGACTTAGGCCGATTCAAACTTCTAACTCTAGTGTTAGAGCACAGGAAGCTGAAGTAGCAGGCCTGGGGAAAAAATGGAATTAAAAGTCTAATGGGCTTTTTGGGGCTTCAAGTTAAAAGAGCTGAATCTATATTTACTGGGTATTACCCTGTAGAATCAGGCAGGGTCTTTAACTCTAAAAATCATCTAGTCAGAGGCAGAGAAGAACAGCTTTTCCGATGAAAATAAATATGTCCGTAAGGCTCCACTGTAGCCAAAGATTGTCTAATGTAATACCACCCATCACACTTTCACACAGTGAGTCGGAACAATCAACTGGCAATTCATTTTTACATTACTATGAGCAAATAGCACCCCTTGGTCCACTTTCAAGGACCACCCTGACTTCCCGAGTCTCAAAATGATCAAGCCAACGTTTGGACTCCCACTTCTTCCAACCACACAGTCCTGGGCTGGAGTGCTTCTGCCCAGCAAAGAACAGATACACACTCAAAGGCATCTTACCTGTAATTTTGCCATTGGCTTCTGAGGGAGGTTGCCAATTTACAATTATGGTCCTGGGTTTTCCCTCTTTACTCACAACTGTCACATCCTTGGGTGGAGAAGTAGGAACTACAAAATAACAAGACTGTCAATAATTCTTGTCCATTCCAGTTTCATTCACCATTTCTGCAACACTTTCCTTTTAAAAGGTGAAATAAGAGGTGTAAGGCAAAAAAGCTAAAGCCTCCTGGCTCAAAGAACTCATAGTCTGCCTATAAATAGATCCAATAAAAAGAAGAATATGCAAAGTACCAAAGAAAAAAACACCATACTATGAGGCTATAGAACTGTCACCTTGGCCTAGAGGTCAAGAATTTATAGGATTCTTATGTAGGGATATCAAAAGACCTTTGTAGTTAATTACCAAGTATCCACATTATACCAGGCATTTTATAAATAGTATTTCACTTAATATTTGTGGCAACTTGAAAGGCAGTTTACCACTATCCCTGCTTGACAGATCAGGGCATTGATAATGAAAAAAGTTACATAATTTGCTCAAGATGACATTCTGTCCCACTTCCCCATATTTGGATTATTTCATTAGAATATTTTCAAGTGTAAAATAATTTTCTCTTTCCACTTATGTTGTCTCTCCAAACAAAATATAATGTGTGAAACCCCCTATTCCCTCAAAGACTAAATGAGTGAAAAAATGCTGTTTTTAAGTTTTCACTCTCAACTATTGAGATTATTGCTCTGAAATGTAAAGCTACTTAAGAAACACCACCAATAGAATAAAAACAACACTGCATTTCTTGTACTTCCATGTTATGGATATCCATATAAGATAACTTTTAATGTACTAGTAGAGAAATGAGTAAATTAAGTACATCCTTAAATTTACTCTTCCTAAAATACTGGAATTTTCCTAGCATAAAATGGAAGGAAGCCTCAGACATCCTGAGAGAATACATACCATTATTTATTAACTAACGGATTGGAATGAAGCAAAAAGATATTCTTAAAACTAGCAAAGAACAGTGTCCAAAATCTATAAAGAACTTAGCAAACTCAACACCCAAAGAACAAATAATCCAATCAAGAAATGGGCAGAAGACATGAACAGACATTTCTGCAAAGAAGACATCCAGATGGCCAACAGACACATGAAAAAGTGCTCCATATCACTCGGCATCAGGGAAATACAAATCAAAACCACAATGAGATATCACCTCACACCAGTCAGAATGGCTAAAATTAACAAGTCAGGAAATGACAGATGCTGGCGAGGATGTGGGGAAAGGGGAACCCTCCTACACTGCTGGTGGGAATGCAAGCTGGTGCAACCACTCTGGAAAACAGCATGGAGGTTCCTCAAAATGTTGAAAATAGAACTACCCTATGACCCAGCAATTGCACTGCTAGGTATTTACCCTAAAGATTCAAACGTAGTGATCCGAAGGGGCACGTGCACCCGAATGTTTATAGCAGCAATGTCTACAATAGCCAAACTATGGAAAGAACCTAGATGTCCATCAACAGACGAATGGATAAAGAAGGTGTGGTATATATACACAATGGAATACTATGCAGCCATCAAAAGAAATGAAATCTTGCCATTTGCGACGATGTGGATGGAACTAGAGGGTATCATGCTTAGCGAAATAAGTCAATCGGAGAAAGACAACTATCATATGATCTCCCTGACATGAGGGAGAGGAGATGCAACATGGGGGGTTAAGGGGGTAGGAGAAGAGTAAATGAAACAAGATGGGATTGGGAGGGAGACAAACCATAAGTGACTCTTAATCTCACAAAACAAACTGAGGGTTGATGGGGGGAGGGGGGTTGGGAGAGGGGGGTGGGGTTATGGACATTGGGGAGGGTATGTGCTATGGTGAGTGCTGTGAAGTGTGTAAACCTGGTGATTCACAGACCTGTACCCCTGGGGATAAAAATATATTATATGTTTATAAAAAATAAAATTAAAAAAAAAAACAAAAAAAAAACAAAAAAAAAACTAGCAAAGAAGGCAAACTCAAAACTCAAGGTCTATTTAAACTTTTTTTGTTATTTCTAAGCTCTCCAGATGCAACCCTTTTCTCTGTAGGTAGTCCATCAACTGTGCAGGAGACACAAAGACATTAGGGCCAGGCCCAGTCCAGGAGTCTTGGCAGCTCCATTTTTTCATTATTTATATATAGGCAAAAAAAAAAAAAAAAAAAAAAAAAGCCATACGAGGCTGGAAGGGACAGAGACTCCTGATGGTTACACATAAGCCCATGCTAGAAAAAGTACAAGAAGGAGAAGGGCAGGCCTATGAATGAATGAGCAAAAGGCAAAGAGAACTGCAAACTCGGATGGCCTGCTTTCCCCTTAATTTGCTTTAGTGTCTTTTATCTTTCATGTTTACTTACAGACAAAATCCCTTAGGCTGCCCCAATGGGATTTTAGCAGATACTACTTATAAAAAAGCTGCTAGGGCAGCTTTGGGATTCCCTGGTAAGGTTCTGAGCCTCTAGCCAGCCTGGCATTGGCAGGTGGTCAAGAGCATGTCACTTCACATTTCTTCTACCTCAATTTAGCAATAAATCGGGATTAATGACATTAATCCTTTACATCTGCACAGTGCTTTCTTACTGCCAGCTGCTTTCTCATCTGCTCATTTTACCTTGGAAGCCTATAGGGTAGGAAAAGCAGATGTTATTGTCGCCCCTCTTTTACAGGTGGAAGAAACAACAGGCTGGATGATTTACTTGTGACTTACGCAGTCAGTATTTGGTTGACCTAGGACTGAACTCAAGTCCCTTGATTTCTAAAATCTAGCAACCTTTGCATTCGATCATCCCATTATTTGGTAATGTTCTTGTTCAGTCATGAAGAAAACATAATTCATCAGCTGGAAAAGCAAACATGGAACTCCAGCTGTGCTGCTCACTATGTTCTGTAAGTGGTTTAATTCACACCCTTAATTCTTTCCTCAGGTAGTAGAAGCAGGTGATGAGAAGTCTCATGACTAGGAATGTGGCCCAACACTAGCCTTTCTTCCACTGGCTTTCACGACTTACAAAGAAAAGAAATGCCATGTATTAAGATTCAGATAACACATACCATACTCAAAGGTGGTCCCATGGGCTGTCATACTCCATGTGCTTGATCTTCGACCTCTGGTCACCATCACAGAGAATTCATACAGTGTATTTGCTTTTAAACCAGTCACCAAGTAACTTAAAGTGGTTGCATTTGCATTCTGGAAGTATAGGAATCAAGAACTTTAGAATTAGGAAATATCAAGAGTTAGCTTTTCCCACCCAGAGCAAATGGACCGGTACCTTGTACTTGGTGTTCGCTGGGATGTTGGTTTTCCATCGGACTGTGTAGTACCGGGAATCTGTGATCTTCTGGTGTTTGGGCAGTGAATTGTCCGCCCATGTGATCCTTATGGTGTCATGACTCAGAATGGAAGCCTGAACTCCCACAGGGGGCATCATGGGAGTGGGATCTGGCACTGGAGTGTATGGAGCATTAATAACAAATAAATCAACTTCAGAAGTGTCTGGGTAAAAAGTAATTAAAAAAGGGAAGTGGCATTTTTAACATAAACAAAAATAAAAGAAAAGGAAAATGCAGGGTAATATAATGGAATGAAAGGTGAGAAATGGAGAAAGAGAAAGAGAATCTGGAGTTAATAGATAACCACCATTCAATAAAAAGAGCGTTTCCACGTGTGTTCTTTCAGGAAAAATTTTCAAGAAAATGTCTAGGGAAATAATTAACGATATTCTCTACTGTATTCTGTAGGTATATTAACATTCGATAATCCAGTGATTTTATTAACATATTCATACTTGAATTTTCCTTACACTATTTGAAAATTCTCTCTCTTTTCCAAAAAGGATTGTGAGAAGATACAAACTATTTTTAAAATCAAGAGTGTAATTTCAGAACAAGCAACACAAAGCTCATGATCTATTTTGATATTTCAGTGAATGTGACTGAATTCTGGGGACATGGCTTACCAATGCAGGTCAATGGACATGTAAGGGTGCTACTCTCAAGCCTGAGTCCTGAATGTCAGCCAATGGCAACTTAGCCTGGCCTTGGTTTTAGGGTTATCTGATACCCACACAGGGTCCAGTTCAGATTTGCTGATGTCCTGGGTCTAAAAGCAGTACAACAAAATGGCTCACATCCAAATAAAGCAAAAGGAACTCAAGGGCATTGCACTTCCTGAGGGAAAGGTAGGCTGACGCCATGAAGGAATATCTGTTATGCTTTCTCCAGTAGAATCAGAGAATAACCCACCTAATGAATCCCAATCAGTTATAGGAAATGACATAATATGGGTCCAAGTGACAGCCTTTATGAATGCTAAAAATCAGAGTACTTATTTGATAGAAAGGAAGTCTACACTCATGCATGTCCTGTGCCATATGCAGGTGACACCTTCTCTAAGCTCACTGTCAAAGCAGAAGCTAGAATTTGCACACAAGGACCATGAGCCCAGGGCAGCACAGCAGGATCTGCTGGGCTTTACCAGCTCTTGGTTAGGTTTTCTAAGTACGCATATACTGATTTATTTGAAGTTAAGGTTTAAAAATGGGTTTCCCACATGGTTATGCAGAGTAGCCCTTCCTGTAACTCAAAACCTGAAATGGCATGGACCTTGTTTATGAGTAAGTGCCAAAATAACATAATAGTCTCCATTTGTGTATTTCCTACACAATGAGCACTAAAAGTAACTGACGAACAGCCTACATTATAGTCAAGGGCTTTGTTCAAAGATCAAGAAACAAACCAATTAGTTATAGAAAATGCACCTTTGGGTGCAAAAGTCATTAGACTTCTTTGAGAATCTTTTTTTATTGGTAATAACTCCTGAAAAAGATAACAAGGTGACATGACTTAGGAACAGTTCCTTGTATATTTCTAGCCTAGTATATTTCTATATTTTAAGTCACATAAGAAAATAATTTCAAAAAATTTTTTTCTATTATAGGTAATTTAAGAAGGCAGCAAAACACTTATTTAAATACTCTCTTTTTCACCTTACTTTTTTTCCCCCCCCTTTCTGGAATATCAAAGCTCTTTGCAAAAGAACTTGTAAATTGTAAGCACACAGGAGAAGAGAAGACAGAACTACCAAACATGAGTGATGATGCTGGTCTTGTTAAGTAAAAGCATTAAAGAAAAAAAAGGGGGCAGAGATTATCTTTTTAAAAAGAATAATGTGAAATTTGCATCATTATACAAAGTATCCAGAAAATACAGTAGGCAATAGAGATACACAGCTCTGGAAAACAGATGGAAAAAGCATTTCTGAAAATAATTTCTTGGGTTTGGGGGACCCTTTAGAAAAATTTATAAGTCTAACATATTTATTTCAATAAACCTTAACACTCAGTTCTATATTCGATGTTTTATCTACAGAAATTTTACATCATATGAATATTCCTTTATTACTAAAAATAATATTTTGGTCTCATAATAATAATAATAATAATAATAATAATAATAAATGTACAGCTGATCAAATGGATAGTACAACTGACTTTATACTTTTTAAAAAATTAACATATAATGTATTATTTGTTTCAGGGGTACAGGTCTGTATCATCAGTCTTACACAATTCACAGCACTCACTATAGCACATACCCTCCTCAATGTCCCTCACCCAGCCACCCTATCCCTCCCACACCCTCCCCTCCAGCAACCCTCAGCTTGTTTCCTGAGATTAAGAGTCTCTTATGGTTTTTCTCCCTCTCTGGTTTCATCTTGTTTCATTTTCCCTCCCTTTCCCCCATGATCCATTGTCTTGTTTCTCAAATTCCTAGTATCAGTGAAATAGTATGATAATTGTCTTTCTCTAACTGACTTATTTCACTGAGCATAATACCCTCTAATTCCATCCATGTCATTGCAAATGGCAAGATTTCATTTTTTGACAGCTGCACAGTATTCCATTGCTGACTTTGTAAACTCTCTATATAAATAAAACTCCCAATCACCTCAGGTGACTAGTGAAGAAAATGCTGGATTCACTGATCAATACACATTTATTGAGACCATCAGTAACCTATATAACTCCTCTAGAGATACGGAGACCTGTTTTTTTTTTTTCCCCCCACTCATTTTAGTTATAACTCACATGACCAAAAGACAAAAATCACTTTTTTAGGGATGGGGAGGGCCGGAGGGAGAGTAATAGAGAAAATCTTAAGTAGGCTCCATGCCCAGCATGGAGCTCAATGCAGGGCTCGCTCTCACAACCTTAAGATCATGACCTGAGACAAAATCATGAATCAGATACTTAACCGACTAAGCTACCCAGGTGCCTCCCAAATCACTAATAATTCTCTCACAACTATAGGTCTAGATCCCAACATATTAAAAACACGTGCTACATATCTACATGGAATTATTTATATGAATGACTGGATTGTTAATATTTTCTAAAAAGCAAAACAGAAATTAATGGAAATTTCTGTTTTGAAAGCCTGTTTTCCTATATGAAGCCTGCAGCTTATGCTGGCATACGCTTTTCCTTCCACTGATACCTGTGGGACCGACCTCAGGCCAACATTCCACATGAGCTTCTGTAAAAAGTGCTGAAGACCAGAGATGGACAGGATGGCTTACCTGTGTGAGGTCTGGTCACAGCACTCTCGTACAGGGGGATGCCCTCACCCACATTGTTAAAGGCTTTCAGGGTTATCACGTAGTGAGAGCTGGGATCTGAAGGAAGGAAACAAGTGAAAACACTTAGGAAAAAATTCTCCAGAACTTGTAAAATTCAAGGGTGACAGTGCATGAACTTGAGTGCAGAGGAAGTCAAGGAGGATTTTAAAATGTGTATGTGGGATTCTTCCAGGCTGTGGGGAAATGCAGCGACGTCAGCAGACACAGCACAGAGAAACTTCTGAGATCAATGTCTCGGAGTTGGTCCCAGGAGTGAGGCTGGCTGTGCCCGAATCCTCTCTTGGCCTCAACTAACCAGTGGTTTAGTGATGTTACCGTACAGTGGAGGGCTTGGACAAGAAGAAGTAAATAGGATTTTCATGTGGTGTAAGCCCACGGGTGGAACTTGGTGATTCACTGTGGTTTTACTGGCATTTCTCTGATGATTAATGATGTAGAGAATCTTTTCATGTGCTGATGGTCCACTTGTATATCTTCTCTGGTATACTGCCCATCCCAATCTTCTGCCTACTCTTTTATTGGATTACCATCTTCCTATTAAGGTGGAAGAGTTTTGTATTTTCTGGACTCAAAATTCTTTGTCAGATATTTGAATGATGAGTATTTTGTCCTAGTCTGTGCCTCATCTTTTCACTTTATTGGTGTCTTTCCAAAAGTTGGAAGTTTTAAATTTCAATGAAGTGCTATAGATTTTTTAGTTTTATAACTTATGCTTTATGCATCCTGAGAGAACCTTGTTTACCTCAAAGCCATGAAGGTTTTTTCCTGTCTTTTTCTAGAGGCTTTATGGTTTTAGCTCTTGCCTTTAGGTCTGTTTTTGTGTATAATGTGAAATAAAGGTCAGGGAAAGTTCCCTTTCTTTCTCATACAGATATCCAGTTCTTCCCACACTGTTTGTTGAAAAGACTACTCTCTCCCCACTAAATTATCTTAGTGTGTTTGTCAAAAATCAATTGATCATATATATATATATATGGGTCTTTTTCTGGACTCCCTTCTGTTCTATTGATCTATAATACCTACCTTTGCACCAATACCACCTCCTCAGTGTCTCGATTACTACAGCTTTATGTAAGTCCTGAAATCAGATAATGTGGCTCCTTAGAAGATATCTGAAGAAATGTTGAAAGACCACACTACCTGAGTCCTCTTTTTCAAAACTGTTTGGCTATTCTACTTCCTTTGATTTTTAAAATTAAGTTTATCAACTTCCATAAAAAAGCCTGCCAGGATTTTACTTGGAATTACACTGGGGGAAATGTCATTTTAATAATATTATCCGATCCATAAACATGGTACCTCTACTTATTTAAGTCATTAATTTACTACCCTCATCAATAATTTTCTAATTTCCAGTGTACAGACCTTGTACATATTTTTAAAGTTTATCCCTAAGTATTTCATATTTTTTGATGCTATATAAGTAGTACTATTATTTTAATTTTGACTTCCAACTGCTTATTGTTAGTACATGGGACTATAACCATTTTTGTATATCAACTTTGTATTCTGTGACTTTGCTGAACTCACTTTTAAGTCTTAATAGCCTTTTTTGTAGATGCCTCAGGATTTTCTACCCCGGTTACAAGGAGTGTGTATAGTGATTAGATATGGGTTTCTGAATGCCATTTTCCATAAGAGAAACCAGCATTCCTTGGAGAAATGACTGATTCAAGGGCTAAGGGTAGGAAAATATCAGATGAGCCCACTATATCTTGCTGCATCAAAAGGAAGAAAGTGCTCAAAGAAAGATGGAAGATGTCAAATAGAGGAATCAGTCATAAAGAGACTCCCATTCACCATTCTTTCAGTAAGGAAGAGAAGGAAAGCTCTTCTTTATCAAAAAAATGCTGATAAATGTAAAAGAAATTAGAGAATTAGAAATTCACTGGGGAAACACCACAGTAATAACTATTACTAAAGACGCTAAAACTAGTGAATGAAAGTTTGATGAGAAACGAGATGTTTACAAAGACTCAAAGTATCCCCCCTCACAAGGTATTTATTAATTTTGAAGGAGAAAACAATAACTTTAGGGAATGTGGCATATTCCCTCTGAACCAAGCGATTAAAGTTAACATCGATCGCTAGCATCAGACTTTCATGTGCCTCCTGATAAGATGCACCGGCAAGAACACAATGCATATCTGCTATTCTTTCCAAAAAGGCATAAGCTGAGAGTAGTGAGGAAATACTAGACATGTCTGAACTGAGAGACATTCTATAAAATATAAACGGTCTGTTCTTGTCAAAAATGTCACAGTCATAAAATTCAAGAAAAAAAAACAAGGAAATGTTCTGTATCAGAGAAAACTAATGAGACATGATAACTAAATACAACAAGTGGTCCTGGACCGGAAAACAATGTTTTTGTTATAAAGGATGTTAATGAAGCAACTATTAAAATATAAATAAAGTCTACAGACACTGTCTGAATGTTAATTTGATGACTCTGTAACCGTACTGTAGTTATATTACAAAACGCCCTCATTTTTTAGGAAATGCACATTAAAGTATCGGGGGTGGAGGGGCATCACATCTGTAACTTACTCTCAAAAGGCTCAGAGAAAAAAATATGTATGTACAGGAAGACAGAATGAGAAAGCACATGTGGTGAAATGTTAACTTATGAGGACTTTTAGTGAAGAATATATAGAAATTCTCTGTACTTTTTTTTTTTTTTTTTTGAGAGGGAGAGAGTGTAAGCAGGATGGGGAAGGGGCAGAGAGAGAAGCAGAGAAAGAATCTTAAGCAAGCTCCATGCCCAGTGCAGAGCCGGACCTGAAAGCATGACCTGAGCCAAAATCAAAAGTCAGATACTTAACCGACTGAGCCACGCAGGCACCCCTGTTTGTACTATTTTTTAAAGTTTTCTGTAAAAATAAAATTATCATACAATAAAAAGTCAAAAGAAAGAAATCCCCCATGCAATTCCTTCTTCTACTCAGCATACGTACCCAGATTTTCGATGGTATAGTAGCGCTGTTTATAGTCCACTTTGATGGTCTGGGCATGAGGGCTGCCAATGCCATAGCCGATGGCGTAACCTCTGACCACAATGTTCTGATTCTCTGGAGGAGTCCAGCTTACTACAATACTAGTGACCAGCGGCCGGACGTGAAGAGAACTAGGCACTTCAGGAACACGAGTTTCTGGGACGGAGAGTAGAAAAGCAAGACTTTAGAATATTTACCATCCTTGGGCCATTGTGTTTAGCCTCCTGCCAAATTATCTGGGGCTAAGATTTTTTCATTATGCCCAAGAAGTCACAGAGAATCTGTATGTATAGTAAGTATGGCTCATGGTTTTACTACATTCTAAGAAGAAAGCAAAACCTAAACAAATGAAATACAAAACAATGCAGTATTAATTTGGAAGAGAAGACAGAGATTGAAGAACCTCTGCCCAATGGAGAAAAACAAATAAACGGCCTTTCAGTAGTTATTCCTTCTGCGTGGTCCCACATCTGAGTCACAGGCTCACCTCGGTGGAATGAGAAAGGCCTAACACCAACTAATTAGAAACCTATTGTCAACGGATGATCGAGTATCACATTGCAGCAATTGTATCAATTATTCACTCCCCAAAGTAATATAAGTCAGAAAATAGGAAACTTAAGAATCACATACTGATTTAAATAGTGGGAGACCAAGAGGCTTAAAAAAGGTAGCAATTTATAGTATCTTTCAATTCTGTTACTTCAAGACATAACTTGCTGTCTTAATTTAAAAATTAGTAAACTAAAAGTGAGAATAAGGACCCAGGTGTTTGGTCTCCCAAGTGCAGCACCTGTGTCTCATAAAGGCACATACACGCCTATATAAAAGTACCCACTGAGTAAGAAGGCAGAAAAAGGGCAAAGTGTCCAGGACTAAGGGAAAAGGCAAACTGCAGCTGAAAAAGGAGGGATGATGTGGCTCAGTGTTAAACTTCAGATCGTTCATCTGTTCAAGGGCCTTGCTAAAAAAACTAGACAAACACCTATACATTTTTATTTGTTCTGGTTTTGCTGAAAGGGACAGGTCTCTACAAGCCACTGGGCCGGGGTGGGGGTGGGGAAGCACTCCCGGGGACCTCCTGCCTTACAGTGATGACAGCAGGGTGATGCACTGAAGTTAAAGCTCACAGATTTCAGACAGACACACCCCCACATCTGTGGTCTTCCAGTTTAACTAATCTGACTACAGTTAGTACCCAGCTTCTCCCAGTCTTGTGGATTGTTGTTCTTACCATCTAAGTCACTTTCAAAAGTTTCAGCAGACAGCCAGTCAGTAGCCGGGCCAGTACCGTTGACTGTTAAAGCAGCCACTCGGAAATTATACTCAGTCCCCCGATCGAGACCTGAGACCCAAATGACAAAAACAAACAAACAAAGAAAAAACAAAAAAGAAAAAAAAAAAAAAAAAAAAAGACAAGCTAAAATAAGAGTTCGGAAAACAAAAGATTAACACCTCATTAAGTATCTCATCCGCCAAGTCAGCACACAGCTACTATCTTTTTTTTTTTTTTTTTTTTAGATTTTATTTATTTATTTGACAGAGAGAGATCACAAGTAGGCAGAGAGGCAGGCAGACAGAGAGGAAGGGAAGCAGGCTCCCTGCCGAGCAGCGAGCCCGACGCGGGACTCGATCCCAGGACCCTGGGATCATGACCTGAGCCGAAGGCAGAGGCTTAACCCACTGAGCCACCCAGGCGCCCCCACAGCTACTATCTTGATAAAATTTCAGTTAGTTAATAGAGCACAAACAACCCATCAGCACAGCACAGAGGAGCTCTCAGGTCCCCAGTAGAGGCTGAAGCCCACATCAACAGGAAAACCAATGAGCAGAGTTCCCAGGAGATTACAGATCCTCACCAGCCACCCCCCAACCCCCGGCCTTTTTTTTAAGAGCTTGAAGTCCCCTCAGAGATCATTTAATGTAATCTCTTCATTTTGTTACTACGGAAGCTACTGTCAAAAAGAGGTCGAGGATAATGAAAGAGTCATAACAAAGGAACAAAGTCAGTTGGTCTCAGAAGACACCCAAGACCGGAAAAGAATTAAAAGCTGTAAATCCTGCTGGGTTACCTTACCTCTGTTCTCTGAGCCACCCCGTAACAAGAATAGAACAATTTTAAACACCAAATATGGTCTACAAATCTATTTCAAAACAGCCTACCTGCCCATAAGTATATATAATAAGTAAAGGAGGAATAAAACCTTTCTTCTATGCAGTTTTTCACAGTATTATCAGTAATAAATTTACCAGTGTATTGAAGGCAACAAAATCCACATATAAAAGTCTACCCTACAAAGTAGGGCAACAGCCAATGATACAGTCAGCGATTCAGATGTTCATGCATCCAGTTTTTCTTTTTTTACGTTAAAACACATAACAAAATCTACCATCTTAACTATTTTTCAGTGTACAGTTCACATCATACATCTTAGAGCATTTAAACACTAGACATCGCGTTACATCTTACGAGGTTATGAGAAATGATCCTACCTGTCCATACTGAAATATTGGGATCTTTGGCCAGGAGCAATGCACAGAAGCTCTAAAGAGAGAACCACAGGGGCAGAGAGAATGTGGCCAGGATGCAGGATGGCTCAGTTACTGAATCCTGCCACGTGGTGAGAGAAGAGATGGATGGTTCTGCTCTTAGCAGGCCCATCCCGAAGCTGTCTGCCCATGAGAAAGCCACAAGCGAGGCAGAAGGAGAAGCAAAATGGCCGGACCCAAGTCAGTTTACCTGTCACCTTCCTGCATACACTGACCAGAAAGTGTCAGAGAGGGTTATGCATGTGTTTGTCACTGTTAACAGACAAATGATAGAGGCCGCTGGCAAACACGGTTCCACTGAGGTCCTAAAAGAATTCAACCAATCAAATTATCATTCCCTCCCCTCTGGGGAGTTACAGTGTAAGAGAGCAAGTGAGAGAGAGTGAGCATGCGTGCACACACGTGTGAGCAAGAGATGCGTGTGTAGAGAGGCTAAGAGTTCCTTTCCCCCAGGTAACCTACAGAGTTCACAGACTCAAACGAAGGCCCACAATTTGTATTATAAAGATACGGCAGAATGTGTTAAGTGCTGTAAGTGGTGCAAAATGAAGAAACAACAATTACTTATGGCTAGCACAAAGTCACGTAGTTTGTGGTTCAGGAAAGGATCCTCGTAATCCACATTCCTCTCTGATACTGATCAAGCTTCAGGTTAATGCTTCAAGAGAGCAAAGATGTCCATTTTTGTTCACCATTGTATACCTCGTGCAAGCACAAGCTAATACGAGTTCAATAAAGTCTGTTAAGCAAATGAATCTAAATATGATTTTAAAACGCAATGATTTTCTCCATAAAGAAAAAGTTATTTTTACATTAAAGGTGATTATTTTGCTTACACATCAAACATTTCATTGAGAAAATGAACAGTCCTCTGTGGGGGGCAAGTAACGTGTAAAATATTTCTATGCAATTACAGTGAAGTTATCAGCTCAAAACAGACTTTATAACTGTTATAAGATGTATATGAAATAGTATATGTAACACGTATATGAAACATTATGTAACATATCTATAACATGTATATGAAACAGTCTCCTTATGGCCCAGAACTATATTGTTTTCACATTATTAGCAACAAAGACAGTGCCTGGTATATAGTAAATATCTACTACTAAATATTCAAAATAAAAGACTTGCGGATCGGAAATGTTATCCATATTTGGAGTCAAATCAGCAACTGCTTTTTTAAATTTTCAATTAGCCAACATACAGTACACCTCATTAGTTTTGGATGTAGTGTTCAACGATTCATTAGTTGTGTATAGCACCGAGTGCTCATCACGACATGTGCCCCCCTTGATACCCATCACCTGGCTACCCCCTCCCCCTATGCCCCTCCCTCTGTAACCCTCAGTTTGTTTCCCGGAGTTGAGTCTCTCACGGTAGCTGATTTTTTAAGAACACCTGACTGTACCGTAACACTCCTTTAGTGAGATATCTCAGCAGCACCACCGCAACCATGCCTTCTTGTCACAGCTTAGAGCTGTGGGGATCATGTGAAGAAACTTAAGGGCTGAAAGCTACCCCTGGAGACAAACATTCACCTATTTTGAAAGAAGCCAATCCCATCTTCGAGGTGAGGAGTAAGGAGAAAAGCTTCTGGGATTACTGGAGTACCTGTTTTCACTGTCAAGAGACTCACTCAAGTCTTAGAAACTCATCCCATTACACTTTTGACCCTAGATGATGGTCCTCTCAAGAACTTGGCTGCTGGAGGCATAAGAAAGTGGTTGATGTCAAGCTTCTCTACCAAGAAGGGGGCAACGTAAGGGAAGCTGAGAGCTCCCCAAGGGTGATGAAATTCATTCTCAGGGCTTAATGATGTCAATATCTCCAATTCTTGCAGTTTTCTTCTACTAGTTCTGTTAGAAACCCCCAAAATAATTTCTTTTTTTTATTATTTTTATATAGACATATGATATATTTTTATCCCCAGGGGTACAGGTCTGTGAATCGCCAGGTTTACACACTTCACAGCACTCACCATAGCACATACCCTCCCCAATGTCCATAACCCCACCCCCCTCCTCCCAACCCCCCTCCCCCCCAGCAACCCTCAGTTTGTTTTGTGAGATTAAGAGTCACTTATGGTTTAGAAACCCCCAAAATAATTTCCTAGGGGCATTTATCTTTACTCTTTACAAGCACAGTCCCAATATCCAAAGAGCAAAAAGCATTTCTTCTTCTTCCCATGCTCCTCCTGCAAAGCCAACTGGCCCTTGCAGAGCCAAGTCTACTCCCCCTACTGAGGGAAGAAGATACAGCTCTTCTGTCATCTATAGAGAAAGCCCGTGATGGAGATGTAGTAGGGCCCACTGTTACCAAGTACGCCACTTGCTCTGCTGCACACAAAGGGAAAACGACATAGAAGTAGCTATCCCGGACAGAATTCTCTAAACCTTTATCATGTAGCAAGTAGTAGCAAGTGTAAGAAAGATTACTGCATTGATATTCACAGATGTTTCAGGCCACATACACATACAAGAGTGGTATCAGTGTTATAAAAATAATTTTGTAGACCTCTGCTACCAGCTACGTTGAGGAGATTTTTGGCTTTTGTTTTACCTTGTTTTGAGATGGCAAAAAACCAGTACAGACTTCGGGTGGTTCAACTTACTATTTCTTGACTTTACAATGGTACAAAAGCAATATGCATGCAGGAGAAACTGTACTTCAAATTCTGAGTTGCGACTTTCTCCTACCCAGGCTAGCGATAGGAAGCATAATCCTCTCTTGTGATGCCTGGCAGGGGCAGTGACAGCCCCCAGTCGGCCTTGAGATCACGAGGGTAAACTCCTTATACACTTAAAACACTGTGTTTCATTCTCAGTACAGTATTCAATAAAATACATGAGATATCCAATAAGTTGTTATAAAATGGGCTTTGTGTTAGATGGTTTTGCCCAACTGCAGGCTGATGTAAGTATTCTGAGCATGTTTAAGGTATGCTAGACTAAGCTATGATTTTGGTAGGTTAGGTGTGTTAAATGTATTTTTGGGTTAGGATATTTTCAAATTTTGATGGGTTTATTGGGACATAACCCCAGTGTTAAGTTGAGGAACATCTGTGTGTGTATGTGTGTGTGTGTGTGTGTGTGTGTGTGTGTGTATATATATATATATATATATATATATATATACACACATAATATATATGTATATATATATATAAAAGAAAATATGGGAAATACAGAAAACCACAAGAAATAAAACTCAAACACAATCTCAATAGAGATGACAGAACCTATAAGATTGTGTTCCGTTAATTTTTATCAAGTCAGAGGTAGACTGAACCATTACAAATTATTTTGAACTGTTCTCACTTCAAATCAGCTGCTCAGAGTAGTCATTAGACTAGCATAACTCAGTGCCTAAGAAAGATGCCATCTCCTATCTTCAGCCATACGCAAGGCAGCTTACCTTCAATCAGTTGAGACGACTGTGTCCCAGGTACCAAGGTCTCGGTGACATCACTCTTTCGGGAGGCCTTCCGGTAGCGAATCTTGTAGCCAGTAATCTGGCCATTTTGTGTGGCTGGAGGAGGGGGTTGCCAGTGAATCACAATACTCTGGGAAAGACAAGATCACAGGGAAAAGACTGAATATATCAAAAGCTTGGTCCTGTTTTATATATCATTATCCTGAATTCACTGACATAAAGGTAGCAGGGTACTCAGAGTTTTAATTAGGGATCACTCAAAATTCTTTTTAATTTTAAAATCCTCAATGATCAAATGGGAAGATTACATTTGCAGGCAGTATGCTCTGGGCCCTTATTCTCCTGGGTATTTAGACACTAGGCAAAAGACTCAGAAAAGCTTTCAGAAGGAGAGTATGAGGTCAGAGGCACATAGATTAGAAGTAAACTATGATTAGGTGTAAGGTTTTCTTCCATCTCTATTGTGAAATGGCTTAAATTAGATAATTTCTGCCTAAAACTCTTCAAGAAAGGAATCATTAATTAATAGCTGGTTTTTAATTAAAGGAGAAGGATTCCCATGGTACTTTTTGAAAGGACCGAGTGTCTCAGTTGTCAATGTAGTCCAGAAGTGGCTCTGGGCCTTTGAGAGGTACACGTGGTCTTCAGTGTACATTGGACTTGGCTAGGAGGGCGTCTGAGCCTATGCACCATTCCGACGGATGTCTACTTCACTTCACAGTGGGCTCATCTCACAGTGCTAAGGGGCTATGGTATCATAAACAACTTACTTCTTCCCATCTTATCACCAGTGTTCTGAACTGCTAAGATCTATAATGTCAGAATCTGCAAAACCACAATGTATCTGCAGAAAGACTAAAGTAATCTTGGCATCAGAGAAAGGCAGTAAAGTTAAACAGAAAACAGAGAGTCGGTTTTTAAGTCCAGCTTTACTGGCAGGGGTAATATCTATGACACCTTATTTCTCTGCTTGATCATGACTCTGCTGATGTCAAACTTCCCCTTCCATAAGCCTTTCTGAGACTTAACAGTGTGCCAGTAAAAATGAATAGCAATACAAATTTTACCTTTGAATTTCTTACTTCTAAGGACAGATTCTGAGGAGCAGCACTGGGAACTGGACAGGGAAAAAAAAAAAGAAAAAAATTTTTTTCAGTCACCCACGTATCACCCCAACATGTGATATTCCTGGCTAGACTTTACACAAATGTGCATCTCAAACACTAATTATGCAACCCGAAGGTCGAAAGCTAGCTGCCAATGCCTCTAATGTTGATTACAGTTTGTGGATAAGGTGTGGCCACATTTGATTCACTTAAGAAAAGAGAGACATTCTTATAAAGGCACCCATATCCAGGTCAGGTACTTATTTCAAAGTCAGAAACTTTCGGAAGTCAGATACTTATTTCAAAGATATGACAGTAACTCTAGACTTTTCTAGAACCCAGATACATTCTGAACCTTCAACATATTCTTTTGAATATTCTTGTTGATGGCATATCTTTATCGTGGGGAAGAGCTACAAATTTTCTAAAAACAGCTCTAATGAAAACGGCAAGTCAACATACTGGGTATTGCTGTTATGAGTCCACAATATGAGGTACATAAATCGGTGAGCACTGCATTCTTGTGGGGTTCTTAACCTGGTTTTTGAAGGCAATTCCCATTAGAATAAAGAGGTATTTACAATGACAGCTTCAGCAAAGAGACGATTTGACCTCCCAAGGCCACTTTTATAGCAGGGAACACTCATTTCAGCATGAGAAGTTTGGGAGTACTGGTTAAACAAACAGCTGCATTACTTTAGTTCTCACATATGAGAACACAAGCCAGGGCTATCTCAAATTTTATGATCCACACACCTTCCAGCATCCCTCTTTGTAGTAACTATAGCAAACAAAAAGAATGTTGGTAAACCTGATTAATTTCCCCTCCACTCACAAAATGTTGACTTTAACTCTTTTTTCCTAGTCCATCCATGGAAACTTCTCTCTCCTTTTCTCGGACATCTGGCGAACAGATATTGACTAAGTGCCCAGTGCGCCATCGGCTTCTGGAGGACAGAGACTGTGTCTTGCTCATTGTTGTAACTTGTGCTATCAAAGAGCATCAAGGCCTCAACCCAGAGATTCAGGAACAGAGGATCTGGAGTAGGACTTATGCAGCTGTGTTTTGAAAAAAGTCTATGAATGGTTCCAGTTCAGCACCCTTGACTTAGCTGCAGAGGCAGCTGATATAGGCTATTGCTGGTGTCTTCATCAACATCATCATCATCATCATAGCTAAGATACGCTGCATGCTCCTAAACGGCAGGTACTTAATCCTTACAACAATTCCATGAAGGAGTTTCTATAATTATTCCCATTTTATAGATGAGAAAACTATAAAGGAGGCAGTGAAACTGACTCAGCTATTTGTTTCAGCTAATGGAGGAACCAAGATTTATCGTACTCTACAGAACTGCCGTAACCCCCATGCTAAGATGGACTCAGATTCCATGACAGGCACTGCAGTCAGCATGCCAACCCACTTCGTACAGCTAGAACTGGTTCAGGTACAGATTTTAAAACTTACATTAAACATTTTTTCCCTCAACTTTTCTCAAAAGTCTTGGCCAAATGGCTTATGCAGCTAGCTCCCCAAACTATAGTTTGTATTTATTTTTCCCAACGCTTAATCCTGCAAAATGTCAAGCACACAGAAAAGAGTGGCAAGAATAAGACAATGACTTCTACATATTCTTTCCCTGGATTCACGAATTGTTTATGTCCTGGCACATCTGCTTTATTTCCTTCACATTATTTAGACACACATATTCATGTGTCTACATACTATTTCTGAATCATCTGAGAGAGAGCTACAGTCATCATCATTCTTCACTCTTTAATACTATAGTATGTATTCCTAAGAACAAGGATGTTCTCCAACAAAACTATAATGAAACAATCACATTCAGAAAATTTAATCTTAGTACAAAATATTATTTAGAAATCAGCTGCATTTCTATATACTAGCAGGAAGATTAATTAAGAAAACAATCTCATTTACAGTTGTTGCAAAAACAATAAAATACCTAGGAATAAACTTAGCCAAGGAGGTGAAAGACCTCTACTCTACAAGCTATAAAACACTGATGAGAGAAACTGAAGATGACACAAACAACTGGAAATACATTCCATGCTCATGGATCGGAAGAACAAATATTGTTAAAATGTCCATACGACCCTAAGCAAGTTAAAGATTTACTACAATCCCTAACAAAATACATCATTTTTCACATAACTAGAACAAATCATCCTAAAATTTGACCCCGAAGAGCCAAAGCAATCCTGAAAAAGAAGAACAAAACTGCAAGTATCACAATCCTAGATTTTAAAATATGCTAGAAAGCTATAGTAATCAAGACAGTATGGTACTGGCACAGAAACAGACACATAGATCAATAGAACAGAATAGAGAGCCCAAAACTAAACCCATAATTATATGGTCCATTAATCTTCAACAAAGGAGGTTAAGACTATGCAATGGGGAAAAAACCCAACGTTTTCAACTCCCCAAATGGTTTTGGGAGAACTGGACAGCTACATGCAAAAGAATGAAACCGGAGCACTTTCTTACACCATACACAAAAATAAAACCAAACTGGATTAAAGACCTAAATGTGAGACCTGGAGCCATAAAAATCTTAGAGGAGAGCATAGGCAGTAATTTCTGACATTGGCCATAGCAACATTTTTCTAGATATGTCTCCCGAGGCAAGGGAAACAAAAGCGAAAATAAACTACTGGGACTACATCAAAATAAAAACTCCTGCACAGCAAAGCAAACAATCAACAATACTAAAAGGCAACCTACTGAATGGGAAAAGATATTTGCAAATGACATATCTGATGAAGGGTTAGTATCCAAAATATATAAAGAATTTATACAACTCAACACCAAAACCCCAAATAACCCAATGAAAAACGGCAGAAAACATGAACAGACATTTCTCTAAAGAAGACACAGAGATGGCCAGGAAACACATGAAAAGATGCTCAACATCACTAATCAGGAGGGAAATACAAATCAAAACCATAATGAGATACCACCTCACACCAGTCAGAATGGCTAAAATGAAAACCAGAAGAAACAACTGTTGACAAGGATGTGGAGAAAAGCAACACCCGTGTACACTTGATGGGAATGCAAACTGGTGTACCCACCGGGAAAAAGAGCATGGAGGTTCCTCAAAAAATTAAAAATAGAATTACCATATGATCTAGTAATTCTACTACTGGATATTCACCCAAAGAATAAAAAAAACATTAATTCAAATAGATACATGCACCCCTATGTTTACTGAAGCATTATTTATAACAGCCAAACCATGGAAGCAGCCCAAGTGTCCACAGATAGATTAATGGATAAAGATGTGGTATGTGTACACACACCTCCTACACACACAATAGACTACTACTCAGCCGTAAAAAAAGAATGAAATCTTGCTATTGCAACAACATAGATTGATCTGGAGCATACATTGCTAATAAGTGAAATAAGTCAGAGAAAAAGACAAATACCACATGATTTCACTCATGTTAAATTCAAAAAAAGGAACAAAGAAAGAGACAAACAAAAAACCCCCTGAGTCTTAAATATGAAGAACAAACTGGTGGTTACCAGAAGGGAGACAGGCAGGGGATGGGTGAAGCAGGAGAAGGGGATAAGAGTACACTTATCACGGTGAGCAGTGAGCAATGTATGGAAGTGCTGAATCACTATATTGTATACACCTGAAACTAATATAACACTGTGGTAACTATACTGGAATTACAATTTTTTTAAATGTCAAAATTTTAAAAAATTAGGTAACATAACTAATAACATACCTAATATTTAATATTGCCTAACAGTACATCCACCCAACATTAATACTGTCCTTGATAGCTAATTTTACCCCCAGATCTAGAAGTCAGTCAAAGATACTACATGTTTTATTTTATTTCATGTGTTTTTATTTTTCTTTAACCTAGATTCAAGAATGATAGTCTCCCATTTTTTTCTCTGAATTGTTCTTTTACTTTTTTATTGTCCCCCCCCCCAACTGGTTTTCTTTCATGAGACTAGTATTTTTTAAGAAGCCAGGCCAGTTTATTTATATATTTTTTTAAAGAATTTCCCTGTTAGACATATCCAAACCGAGGATAATTCTACAAATAACACAAACAGGCCTGAATTCTTGAAAAATATTACAACTTTCAGGAAACAGTATATATATTTATTAACTGCAATAAACACTGTTATTTTCTGTTCTAATACAGATAATTTTTTTTTTTTTTTTTAATGCTGGTCTTAAAGATACCAATGTAGGGCTCTCTGCCCACCATGTGAGGACTCAGGTGGAGAAGGTCACAGACATGGCGGCTGTTAGGATGGGAAAGCTGATGATGGTACCTGCAGGTCTGATATGTGCATCTGTAACTGCACTTGCAGCTACAAAAGAAAAACACAAAAAGCAGCTAGTACAGCCAGAGCAACTCCCCACACGGACTGCACCACCTCTGCAGTTTAAACACGTCAAAGAGCAGCCTGGTCATTTACAAATGGGCTTAGCATCCATCTGCACTACAACTGGTCATTATATTGGCTGGTGCAATAGTGTTTATGTGTTTGTGAAAAATGGAATAATGGGTACAGTTCAATTTGGAAAAGATGCATATATCTATCTGAAGGATCCACCTCAAGATTTTCTCCCAAAACTTGGAGAGATTACAGTTTCAGGATTGGCAGGTGTGGTTTCAGCAAGAAAAGGTTCTAGGTTTAAGAAAATTGCTTATCCACTGGGACTGGCCTCTTTAGGAAGCAACTGTTTGCTACCCAGTTCAGTCAGTAATAATTGCAAAGGTAACTGGGAAAAAGGCATATACTACAAGCCAGCAAATTTATGAAGCAGTTAAATCACTGTGGACAAAAATCAACAAAGAGTCATTTCCTAAACCTAAAGAAAAATCTAAGTTAGGAAATTCTGCTGCAACAGAACTACCTGCCAAAACAACAGACAGCTGAAATACTTAGTGCCCTTGCCCACGGAACTCAGCTCCGAAACAAAGTCACAATCAGAATCCACCTCTGGGGCTACACAGTTTCTGCCTGACCCCAGCTCATGGATCCAGAAGACGTAGATACGTGCAGCACTAGAAGCTGAAATGCTCTGCGTAGAGAACTACAACATGTATGAAGTTGAAAACAATGATGGAAAAATCATGTAAAGGGTAATTGACAGAGTATAACTTTTTTTCCCGGGGTATAACTTTTAAACAAAGTTTTTCTCTCATATCTTCTAATATAATGTACAGTTTGACCAATCACACATAAGGGGTTAAAACACAAACTGTGAATTTAATCCAAACAATATTAAATGATTGAAGAAGCCGAAGTACTGGGATGCATTTAATGATTTTTAAGGGTGTTTATGAAAAAACAGAGTAAATATATAAACACTGGTGAAATATGTATGTGTATATGTAAATATTTATACAGATATATACACATATTTGCTTTAGCTTTTTCAAATTAATGTCAGCTAAATTAGAATGGTGTGTAGACGGATGTGTTTCCACTACCCCTTCTTTCATTCGCCAGAGCTGGAATAAAATATCCATTATTTTAAGACAAAAAAAAAAAAAAGATACACATGTAGTGATCCAAAGGGCCACCTGTACCCTAATATTTATAGCAGCAATGTCCACAATAGCCAAACTGTGGAAGGAAGTCCACTGACAGGTGAATGGATAAAGAAGATGTGGTATATATACAATAGAATACTACTCAGCTATCAAAAAAATGAAATTTTGCCATTTGCAACAAGTGGATGGAACTAGAGGGTATTATACTAAGTGAAATAAGTCAATCAGAGAAAGACAACTATCATATGATCTCACTTGTATGTGGAATTTAAGAAACAAAATAGAGGAGCATAGGGGAAGGGAGAGAAAAGTAAAACAAGATGTAATCAGAGAGGGAGACGAACCATAAGAGACTCTTTATCAGAGGAAACAAACTGAGGGTTACTGGAGGGGAGAAGGGTTGGAGGGGGTGGAGGTAACTGGGTGATGAGGATATTAAGGAGGGCACATGATGTAATGAGCACTGGGTGTTATAGAAGATTGATGAATCACTGACCTCTATTTCTAAAATGAATAATACACTATATGTTAATTAACTGAATTTAAATTAAAAAATAGTAAAAAAATAAAAACAGAAAATCCCAGTCTTGACCTACTCAATCCCCTTGGCAAGCTGTAGTTTGAAAAATACTGCTCTAGGTCATAGTTACATGAATACAACTTAGCTTAGAAATTCAGCCACAGGTAAGAAATGAAACTGTCACAAAATAGCAAGGAATTAAAAAGAGCTATTCGGTATAAAAATATGATTGATAAGGGTTCGTGTTATGAATAAGCAATAAGATTTACTTGTACAAAAGCTCCTACTAAAAATGAAAACATGAGAAACTATTCAGTACCAGGCACTGCATGTCCCACCCTCTCTCAGTAAATCTTTTAAACCCAATGAAGTTGGTATTATCTACATTTTACGCATAAAGAAACATGTTCAGACATGGTAAGTGACTAAAGTCCCGAAAAGGGGTAGAACTGGGATTTGAATGGACTCTTCTTGCTATCAAAGCCCATGACCTGACCAGGGCCCCCAAGCATGGTATGTGATCCAAAGAAGAAAGACTCACCGTCTGACAGCGTCCGAACAGCCACATCCTCTGTGGACACTCCTGGACCATGTCGGTTGTAAGCCACCACTCGGAAACTATACTCCGTGTATTTTTTCAACCCATTAATGGTATGGGAGTGACTTGAAACGTCAACATCCTTGGATAAAATAAAACAATTTACGTGCATGCAACTCAAGCCAAAAGAAATGCTGCAAAATAATTAACTACACAAATTCTTCATTTGATACGATGCAGATTTTTATCCCTTTTAAGAAATTCTACTTAACAATCAAAGCAGATTAATGAGAAACACTCGCAATTTACTGAGAAATATTGCTTGATGTTTAGTGACCTTTCCTGATAAAAACTAGAGAATATAACCTGGTACAAAAAAATAAGAGTCTGCTGACTTTCCATTTCCTGTATATAACTTTTTTTATTCTGAGATTTCTAGACAAGCAAGTATTGATTTTGGGAAATAAATTTCAACTCCACTATTCCAATCAATGGACTGAAAAATGGCTTTGGGGTGCATAGGTGGCACATTCGGTTAAGCATCCCACTCTTCATTTCAGCTCAGGTCGTGATCTCAGGGTGCTGGGATGGAGCTCTGCATCAGGTTCCACGCTGGGTGTGGAGCCTGCTTAAGATTCTCTCTCTCCCTCCTCCTCTGCTCCTCCCACTGTGCTCTCTCTCTCTCTCTAAAATAAATAAATATATCTTACCAAAAAAGGCTTCATCTTTTACCTGTTCTTTATCAGTCCCTTTTTCCATGTAGTACAATTTGTAATTCTGAATTTCCCCATTGCCAGACAATGGTGTTTCCCAACTGACAGTGATAGAAGTCGGTGAAGCTGCGTATGCCCGGATGTTAGGTGCTGGGCCAGGGAGCTGAACTAGAAAGAAAATTTTGAGACAGCAAGATATGAATGAAATTTACTGAACTCTTCAATCACCAGTCTCAGCAATAACGTCATATTGGCCATGTTTTTAAAAACATTAAAAACTGAGAAAACAACTGATTTGACTGAAGTGGTTTTAGGATAATATATAAATGCATTTCCCTTTCTATGACTCAAATTATAACCAAAAACTATCTGTGAAGTATCTTAAATGTATTCAAAGGAATAAATAAACATTGCAAAATTTTTCCTGTGGTTTATAAAAGCCTAGTTTTAGAGCAGGACTGCAGCACGTAAAAGTAGCCATCACAAAAACAGAGTCTTCAGGGGATTAAAGAGTACACTAACCATGATGAGCACTGAGTAATGTGTAGAACTGTTGAATTGCTCTATACACCTGAACCTAATATAACACTGTATGCTACTTATTCTGCAATTAAAGGAAAAAACTTAAAAAAAAAAAAAAAAAAAGAGAGAATGAGAGCCTTCTTTTGCCAGACAGTGTGGATACGGTGACAGACAGAGCCCCTGCCCACAAAGAATTCCCAGTCTAGAGGGAAGTCAGACATATAAATAGTTGCGAGAGTCACAAATGCCAACAGATTTTGTAATGATTTTAACGAAAACAGAAAGAGAAAGCACGACTCAGCTTTGAGAGGGGAGTGTGTAGGCAAGGGAAGGACTGGGGAAGACTTCTGGGGAGCCAGAAGGAAGAGCGTCCTCAGATACCAAGGGAAAAATTATTCTAGTCAATGGGTGGGATATGTGAGAAGACAGTGTAATGTGGTTCAGGGCAAATACTGAATGAATAAGGGAGGGAGAATGCGAAGAAGCAGGACAGAGCCGGGTAACAAAGAGCTTCCAACGTGCTGCTGTGGAGCCTGCCTCATCCCTTGTAGGTATTAGGTAATCACTGAACAGTCACGAGCAGGAGCATGCCATGGTCAGATCGTGTTTAGAAAGGACACGTCAACGTATGCATGGAAGAAAAACAGTAAGGGAGTAAGACTATAGAATAATGATTTTTAAAATAGCTACCGTTTATTGAATGCTTACTGAAAGTGCTTTACAGCATTTAATGTAAATATAAATAAATATAAAATGCAGCTGAAAGTGCTTTACACGTATTTAAATTATGTCTTACGTAGTCTTTGCACTAACCCACACAAGAGCGATACTATGATCACCGCAGTCTGCAGATGAGGTTGGCTAAGGACTGTTCTGTGTGATGGGCAAGTTAGTGGTGGAGCCCGGAGCTGCACACCTTCTGACTCTAACACATGGACTCACGTGTCGCCGACCAGGCTGGAGACACGACACTGTCCATGGGGTGTTTGTGACGGGAAGGCTTGATGGTTTGTTCACGGACTGTCCGTCTCGCTCTAACTCCTACAACAGCTCCCGGACCTTTTTACTGTATTCTTTTCATCTGACTGATGGACTGACAAGTTCCAGCCCCAATTTATACACAAATTCCAGAGGTTACCCATGTCTACACTTTGGTAGACATTCTATATTTGAAAACCGTTTTTCTGGTGCCGGTGTTTCTGTAACAGAATCCATTAGATTTGAGGAGCAGGAAAAAAACCTGGCAAAATGTAGAACAAACTAGCTTTCTTAAGGAACAGCACCACAGCTTGATGGTTTTGCTACCGAAGCAGAGAAACCTGAATGTGGTTATTCTGACAGTTGTTTGCTTTATTTAGTCATGAATCATGTTATTCACTCAATGTTGAGAGCATTATTTTGTGCAGCCCGACAGGTGGGATTTGTCACATTTCTGCTGCTACAGAAAACTTTCCTCTAAGTTATTAAAGGGGAAGGAAAACAAAACAATCCTCCAATTCCCTTGAAAATACTTTCAATATATTCATTGGATACACATAAGCAAACATGATCCTAAAAAGGCACTAAGAAATTCTTTCATTTCACCTGCACAGTGGCATAATAAATGGAAAAAATTTTAAGTTGGTTTGTTCAGCTAAGTGTGTAAAATATTTTCAGAGGGCTGCCTCCAACATTTATACCTCCCGGCCCAGGCTGAATACCTCCAGATGGAGTACACATCTCTTTCCTTTACCTCGTCTTTTGCCAAGACATGTTATAGCCACTTTCCATCCCTAAAATACTCTCAAGAGAATCAGGTCCCCCTTCCAACTACATTCTTATTTAGTCTCTTTCTTCTCATCAAACTCCTTGAAAAAATGACTGTGTTGCCTACTTTCCTTAGAATTACAGAGGTATAATATTAGGTAGATAGGATCAGAGGAAAAAGTCTAGAAGGCATCTGAGCCAGGTCTTAAAGAATCAATAAAATGTGAGTGTGTATCAGCAAAGTCCTATTGCCTTCCATGATTTGCCACAGTTTGATGTGAATTAATTTGCTCTCCCTTAACCAATTCATAAGGTCCTTGATGGCAAGGAGCTGTACCTTCCGCAATGCCATGGTACACAAGCCTACAAAGAAGGTAGACCTTCTTATCATCTGCCTACATGTAGGGCTGATGGACAGGTGAAAGACTTACCCTCGGGCTGTGTTTCTACTCGGAGCGGAGCTGAACTCTCTCCGGAGCCATGCTTATTTTGAGCCGTAACTCTAAAGATGTACACAGTCGCCGGCATCAGGTTTTGAATGGTCACCTGCATTTCTCCTGCGCGACTGGTGTTCTCAACACGTTCCCTTTGGACAAAGAGGGATGTGGAAAGAAACAGCATTGATTAGGAATACTTCTAGAATGTGCAGTTTCATTTTCATTGCAATTCCTATAGATACAATACCATATAAAAATCTTAACTCTTGACTCTGGGAAACAGACACAGTTGAGTTAAAGGAGGTGGGTTGGGGGGATGAGGGAGGTGAGTGGGGGGACGAGGTAACTGGGTGATGGGCATTAAGGAGGGCATGTGATGTGATGGGCACTGGGTGTTATATGCAACTAATGAATCACTGAACATTGTATCAAAAACTACTGATGTACTGTACGTTGGCTAATTGAATTTAAATTAAAAAAATCTTAATTTAAGTCAAATTAACTCTTCAGAAAGCAAGGCTTTGGGGGTGGAACAGTGCACAGAATATGGAGAGTAGCAAAGAGCAATATCACACATGTCTGATACCTTGCTGATGTCCTTGCTTAAACATCACTGACTTTCTGGTCATAACCACACCTTCCTTTCAGAGAAGGAACAAACAAGGGTCTTCTCATTGCCATTTCAAATGGGGAAGCTGGCCATCAATTCTGTAGGCTTTAGGAATCACTGAGTTTTAAGGAGTGATTTTTCAGGGAGACAGAGGTAATTACAAGCATGACCCAGTTTTCAAGGAAAATATCAAAGAATTCTGTGTATATTTTGGATAAAAGACTCAATAAAAACAAAGCTAGAGATTATTACTTTAAAAGTTGGGAACATTAGAAATTTAAATGATCCTAAAATAACCCAATCTATAAAAAAAGTGAAACCTGCCCCTGATTTTTATAATTTATTTGTTAAGGCAAATACTCTTAGAATGATATCTAAATTGATTTGAAACGTTTAACAAATTTTATGACAACAGGACAAAAGAATCTAGCAGTCTAGTGTTATGAACTGAGAAGATAAAAGCAGTTATCTGGCTTCTTTAAAAGCTTCCAGACTAACCTGGGATCTGAGAGTCCCACAATTGGGCCCATAATTACAGTCAGTCTATTGTATGTACTAGATAAAAACCAGTTAATATTACACAAGAGTTTCAACAAATATTGTGGAAGAATTCATTTGTTTTAGACAAATCGCTGGCCTTTAAGAATTGTCGATCATGTAAAGAGAGATTTGTATCTATCCTGACAGAGTAATAAAAAGGCCCAAAACTACTCTGTGGACAAAATTACTTGGAACTACATAATCTGCCGAATTAACATTTTTTAAGATATTGGTTATTTTCCCTGAAATCACTGATAAAATTTGTTTAGTTCTACATGAACTTATGCCAATTTGCCTGATTATATGTGAATATTTACATTTCAGAGATTTAAGTGTTTTTCAGTAGTTTCCTAGTTTTTTAAACTACCTTATTTTTATTTAAAACAAACCAAACCAACAGTACCCACACCATCTTCACAGAGAGTGCTTGTTCCGGCAGAGAAGAGTACTATGGCAACAGAAGTTATTACTCAAAGATCCTTGAGGTATTGACAGATATTTTCTCTTCAGCTAGCCCTCTAAGTCACAAGATTTAAAAGGGGGTATCAGCGGATTTCTTACACTCTGAAATTTCTGACAGTTGCTCTGATGGCAACTGATTGCTGCCTAAAAGGAAGTATGGTATTTGACACTTCACCAAACTACAAGGTCTGTGTAGTAGCACAGAATAGGTCTGTTTTGCTCACTGTACATAACAGTTTAAACAAAAAGTTGAGACCATCTTGAGAAAGATAGTTGGGGGGTGCTATTTTATGTTAAACTGAAGTGTCTCAATCACGTTCCCATATTACAGCAGAACTTAGCAGAAAGTTCAGACACGGAAAGCAACGTCACAGATATCTGAAGAATGCATGAATGGAAATTTGGCTTCTCTACATAAACCTTGTATAGTAATAATATGTACATCTTTTGTTCATTCCTATGTGAAAGAAAAAAAACACAGGAGAAATGAGTGAAGGGAATGAAAAACTTAGAACAGATTTCTACAGAAATCCTACAATTAAGAAGAACCAGTAATACGTATGATTCCTTAAGATGGAAGAACAAATATCCAGTACCTGCAAACACTTTAACTCTAGATTGGTCTGAGGTTCCAGAACCAAGAGCCTGTCTAGAAAAAACTTTGACTTCAGGACAAGACCCAGGGTGAGTTATAAAAGTACAATTCTCACAGTTGTGTGAGGTTATGATGGAACTTGGGTTAGAATGTGTAAACTAAGAGTCAAAGCAGAAAGGAAAAGCTACGTTTTCTATTAAGACAGTGCTGGGCGAGGTGCTAAGAGCTCCATTCTAGTTTTGACAAGCTCACTAATTCCTTCTGAGCCAGATAGTAAATATTTACAGGTTAAGAGACAAAATGGAAAATATTATGTAGTTACTTACAAAATCTATTAAAATGTAATGATTTGAAAACACAAAAAAATATTCTTAGCTCCTGGGTCATAAAAATAACAAGTCTGATTTGGCCCACAGTCCGTAGCTTGCCAATTCCTGGGCTTAACTAAGATAGCTAAGGGGCTTCATCCTTCTCTAAAATGTTATTAACTTCTGGAAGAACTTACTCTGAATTTTCCATTTAGTGGCTAATATCAGAAAAGTACTCAATTTATACTAAAAAAGGGTGAACATTTCCTAGTTGAAAAGGCAAAGGACCCTTTGAAATCTCAAGGAACTCAGGCACCCGGAAGAATTACACCTCATGACCAAGACACACAGTGCCACCTTGTGGCTGATTTTTCAAGTGCAGGAAGAAGTAGGATTTATAAATCCAGGGAGTGGCTCCAGGCCCACTCTGATTTCTCATTTTAAATCTGTGACGAAAATTTATTACTCTCATTTTTTTTAGATGAGAAAACTTAAGCTTATAAAGGTTAAATAAATTCTGTTTACAAAACAAGCAGGGTCTAGTCTTCTGACTTAGTGTTCTTTCTACTCCTTCAAGGCTTGTATTCAGAAATCATAAACTTCATTCACAAATGAAAGGACAAAAACATGACGGTCTCCAAGAATCTTCCTTTGACTGTTCCCTAGATTTATTCTGTCCACTCCAAGTCACTGCTCTCACCTTCGTCTAGGCCATACTTACCACGTGCCTAGATTAACTAGATTTGTCTCCCTGACTTCATTTTTGTCTTTATGTAGTGCTCATAAACTACTAAAAAAAGCCATTTAATAAAATCACAGTGCACACTTGCTCAGTAGTCTAGAATGCTCCTTTCTTAACTGATTATATCCAAATTCTTACTGGCATTATGACATTTGGCTCCAAACTTCCACTTTATTATAATCTCTTACTAATTCCTACCAGCTCTCTGGGCCAGTTAAACTTTCCTACTTTTCCCACCCATCAAACACCAGACACGCAAATTAAATTGGATCCTCCTTGCACCTCCTCTTCCCTTATACATACATGCCTGGTCTTCCTGCCTGACAATTTAATTTTAAACCAAAGTGACAGATTCTCATTAAAAACAAAATTATATATAGTTTTAAAAAGTCCAAATGCCCCAGTTTTTGTCTCTCCTCAAAACCTGTCCTTCCCTGACACCTAACTGACCAGTATCTTACCAGATCTCTTCATGTCAGGTTTTCTCAACCTCAGCACAACTGCGCTTTCGGTGGGATAATTCTTTGTTGTAAGGGGCTGCAGGATGTGTATAAGCATCTGTGGCTTCTACTCACTGGATGCCAGGAAGCGTCCTCTCTCATCTGAGCTTTAATACCCCAAAATGTCAGCAGACATGGTGAACTGTCCACTGAGGGATGAGGGCAAACTGTCCCTGGCTGAGAATCACTGTTTTAGGCATTTTTACACGCACACCAAAATACACAGATATGTCGTTAAAAATTCCTGTATCACACTTCATATGGATATACATATATTAATTATGTGCCCATTCCTCCATCAGTGGGCACTGACTTTTCTTCCTTTTTTCATTGTTACAAATAATGTTAGAATAAACATTTTTATGAGTGCCCTATGTATATGTAGATCTGTTTTCTTTTTTTAAAAAAAATATTTTATTTATTTATTTGAGAGAGAGAATGAGAGAGAGTACATGTGAGGAGAGAGGTCAGCAGGAGAAGCAGACTCCCTGCTGAGCAGGGAGCCTGATGTGGGACTCCATCCCGGGACTCCAGGATCATGACCTGAGCTGAAGGCAGTTGCTTAACAAACTGAGCCACCCAGGTGCCCTGTAGATCTGTTTTCTATAGAACATCTAGAAGTGTTATTGTTGGGTTATTGTTATTGTTATTGTTATTGATGGATGTGTGCACTAAGAAGGTAAAAAAAAATCTGCCAAATCACTTTCTCCAAGGGCTACTCTTATATTGCTATCAAAAGCCTAGAGCAGATTTCTTCCCACTATTTTAACTTAACACTATATATTATCAACTTAAAATTTTTGCCAGCCTTAAAAGTAAAAAAGTTTCACTTTTTGTATTACTTTGTATCTCCCAGACCATGAGCAACAGCAAAAACATTTTTTAACTTTAATGGGCTTTCCATTAACCTCTGCCAATCAATCTATTTGTACCACTCACCTCTTGGGACATTGTCTTTTACTTAAGATTTGTAGGGTGCTCTTTATATAGACTAGATAGCAGCACAATGTTTTATAAATGTTACAAACTTTTTCCCAGCTCATCACTTGATAGCTTTTGTTTATGATATTTTATCATGTGAAATTTTACACTGTTATGTAATAAACTTTGTCGATCTCTCCTGTTGTGGCTTCTGGATTTCCTGTTGTCTGTTAAAAGGCCTTTCACACTCAAGTGATAAAACAGTTTCTGCATTTTCTTCTAATACATTTATGAGCCTTACAATCTCTTAATCTGTCTATAATTTATTGTTATACATAAGACAGAGATATAACTTCCATTCTTTCCACAAAATGGAGTTATCTCAACATGATTTCTTGAATAAGCTATTATTTCTCCATTGATTGAAATGAATTTACTCATTTAACAAGTAATTATTTAGTCCTACTATATGCTAGGCCCTGTTCCAGGTGCCGGTGATACTCTATTGAATAAGATGGGCATAAGAAATAGGTTAATTAAAAGAGAAGACTGCAGAGTGTTAAAGCATTGTGAAAACAAAATAAAACCCAAACAAAACAAAACAAAACAGAAAACCACCCAAAACAGGGTGATGTGACAGCAGTGGTCTTCTGGTGAATGTTTAATAACCAGCCCTGGTTTGTAGCACTTGTCCCAGTAAATACTCATGCCATGCCCTGTTTTGAGCTACCACGTTGTCATTGGGTCTAAAATTTCCTGAAACTTTAAAAACTGGTTTGGGAACAAACTGGCTCCAGAACATCACTGTGTGATAGGACTGAAGGGGGCGAAGTTGGGGGGGTCTTCAAGGAAGGCCTATGGAGGTGTGATCTGAAGATGACAGATACAAAGCCAGAAACAGTTGTTTGTGAGGGAAATACATTTCTGATAGAAGGAACAGCAAAGGCAAAGGAACCGGAGTGGAAAGAAGTTTGTTAATCTGAGGAATTACTAAGTGTTCTTTCCTTCTGTGAAATACTACAGAATTAGCAGTGAGATGTGAAAGATTACTGGAGACATTTTAACACAGATGCCATTTGGGAGTAATGTCTTGCCTTTCTGTGTCTAGAACTATGTTTCTTTATCTTTATAATTCCCAAGACATCTGGTACAATGTTCAGAAAAAACATTATTCTGTGAGTAGCTCCATCTATCTGGCTCAAATGAGGTCACACAGACTTCTCAAGAGGGTTAAATCAAGTGGTTTTGATGGAGGTTCCGATCCTTGTGGAACTCGACAGTCTAGTTATTAAATACAAAGCTTATCAGATGTAAGCACCCTGGGAGAGACACAAGCTTTATTTCATGCTCAAGGGCCCTAACCAAAACAGATACTTTAGCTTTCTTATTTTGGTCTGAAGAAATCTACTTGGCAATGCTAAGAATACATAGCGTGTGGCAAGTTCCTCCCAAAGGTTTTATAATCGGGTTGGGAAAACAACACAAATACACATAAAATAGCAGAAGAGTAACAACTTATGGCAGTAAGAGATCACATGTTATCATAATTAAGTGCCAATATTAGTGGCATGAACACATAAAGAGAAAGGCTGTATCTGCTGAGAAAGGTAGAGAAAAATGTGTACGGGCGTCCTGGGGCTTAATCTGGGCCACAAACTGACTTCAGCTTCAGCTGGGAAGGGGGGAAGCGACTGAGGAGAACACACTGGAAGAAAGACAGCACACAGGACAGGAATCAGACAGGCTTCATCAGAAAGGGAGGTAAAGTGGGAGGAGAGAGGCGGAAGGCTGGACAGACGCCATAAAGCTGGTGATGAGTAAAGCGACCTGGGGATTCTGGACAATGTCCCGTAAGCGATGAAGAAGCAATGTGAGCTCCTGAAAGAGGAGGAGATGAGGAGGAACTTAATGAAAATGCAGTTAGGGAAATGAGCTACTATCACTCTTGTGTCATCCAGGAGACCCCCGGCGAGCTCAGCGGCCCACATCCACATATGTGTGCAGGCAAGTATGCATTTACGATTACTGCTCGAAGTTAAGTCCACCTTAATTTCCAGAATCTGAATGTTCTAAGTAAACCACGTCCTAGCGGCTGTGCTGACCGAACCATATGAAAAGAGAGGAGCCTAGTTATATACCAATACTTCCACCTAAACATCTCTATCTATACCACACCCGCGTCCCAAGTTGTTCCAGAGACACAGGAAAGAATGAATACCAGGACTTCGGTCTGATTGGGATAAATTTTAATGACCTAAAATTGGGAAATATGCATCTTTGTGATCATTTTTTCTGGACCAAAAACTGGTATAGATTCTGCACAAAAAGGAGCCAGGGTGAGCACGACTGGCCTGGGATTGACCAAGATGCAACCAACTGGCTCCGGAACATGGACACTTACCTAGCAATCCCCTCCTTGGTGTAGAAGACAGAGTAGGTAAGGTTGTCTCCATGAGGCTCTGATGCAGGTGTGCGCCACGTCAATTTGATGAAGCGGGTAGAGACCAGGGAGGCCACGACATCCCGAGGAGCTGAAGGCAGTGGTCCTGTTGTGGCTGGTGCTAGATGGTCAGTAGTGGCACTGGTCAGTGAAGTGGGAGGTAATGTTGGGATGGCAACATCTTGTCATGTGCAAACATTGGGGAATATGAAGGGCAAACCACGACGGTTTTAAAAAAGAGAACAGAAAAAACAAAAACAAAAAAGAAATAAACAAAACCACGATGGGAAATAAAATAAAATGAATGAACATAAAAAAGGCCATTAAACTGAAGGCTAACATGCAGGCCGGGGTTAACTACTGAAAACTAATGGGCACTATTCAGACACATCACTGTAGAGCAAGCAGACTTTCTGGTCACTATAATGGTTGTGAGCAAGGGACAGGGAGGGTGACGGCTGAGAATAAAACATCTCACAGAAGGACACAGCAGTGACCAAGTAATTTTCTTTAATTCCGAAAGCAGCATGCAACATCTATTAAGCTTTGCACATAGAAGTCTCCCCTATGAGAACACCTCAGTACTTTCAGCTACTTTATCAAATACGGAATAACATGTGCAGTCTGGATGAGCCTCGTTGCTTTGGACACGGGCCCAGGCTGTCATGACCTCCCTGCAGAGCCAGTGTCTTCAGCTCTGCGGGAGACTCAGGAGCCACATCTTTAACTTTATCTCATATTAAACCCTGCTCTCTATAATTTGGCAAGACCCAGGCAAGTCTGACAACCTTCCTCATGTCACTAATATTTCATTTGCTACCTTTTTCAATTCGTTTAACCACAAATATATAAAAACATGAATCAAGAATTCCAAAACCACAGTACTTCTAGGAAGCTGATCTGTTCGTTACGGTGCTCCCTGCAGTATATAGCAGCACGGCCTGCAGACTCAGGAACTGGAGATGAAGCGGAGGGAGGTCAAAGCCCCGCTCATCAGAAGTCTCCATTTGTACACTTGCAGTCATGGGTAACTTTATTACTCCTTAAGGAAGTCCACTCTGCTGCTGGACACTTCTGATTTTCCCAGTACTGAACCCAGAATCTCCTGCATCTTGGGGCCAGAGAGTAGAAGTATAATCTCACAATTTTTAACTAAAGGAGTTCGAATGAGTTGTGTGATAACCTTAATGGGAAAATTAGTAGAAGAGAGGCAGAGAGGAAAACATGAAAATTATGGACCTAATTCTCAGTGAAACTGTAGGTCAATAACCTCCGGGAAAGGCCTGTGAACTGAGGGCATCTAAAGTGAGGCAGTCCACTAACTCTGCCAGACTGAGTAAGTTCTCTAAGGGAGTACGGAGAGGACCAAGCTGAAGTCGTTACTTCGGTGGGGGAGGGGCAAGAGTCATCCAACAGCTTCCGTTTCTACATGGCACTCTGGCTCTTCATGTGGACGCCCCGAATCCTAACAACAATTCTATGAAAAAAGCAGTCATTTTATTTCTGTCCTCTATGTAGAGACTGACATTTAAAAGAGCTAAATCGCTCATCCTAGGTCAGAGACAGTAAATGACGGACTGTTAAAATCAACACTGGTTTTAGTTCCAGAGGCCTCCATGTTTAGCCAACAGGAGTTCTACTCAGGTGGTGCCACAGTGGGCAACTCACTCACTCTCTCTTTTCCTCTCCTTATGAGAAAGTACACTGAAGAGTACAGAATGCCATCAGAGTATAAGACTATGAAGTCCCGGAAGACACAAGTCCACACTCCACTGACCCAAGTGTCCATGTTGTAAGAAAGTTACATGTGAATGGCCAGTAAGGTCTCATGCTTATTCCTGATGCTTTGACATATGTGTTGCTTCAGAGAAAATACCTCCTTCACAGCTTTCAGAGTTCTTTTTCATCAATGATGTCAGTTATGCATACAGCAGCCCCATGAGGTAGGGTGGGAATGACAGGATTGGAGGTGGGGGTGAAGGTTAGAAAGGAGTCAAAGACTCCCAGGTTTCTGGCTTGGGAGAATGTGTGGTTGGTTGGTGGGGTCACTCATGGAGAACGGCAACATTAAAAGAGACTAGAGACTGAGGGAGAGATGGCAAATTTGGTTCTGAACATGCTGGATCCAGAGTAATGGTCCAGTATCTGCCAGAGAAATGTGTAAGAAGCCACTGGAAATATGAATCTCTGATTATAAAATTAAGTCACTAAAAACCCTTAGAGGGAAACGGTTCAAAGAGTAGCCTTAACACAGTCCTGCTTTGTTGCTTCATTTGTGTGCCTATCCAAAAACACACTAAGGAAAAGCCACTTCCAAGTCTGACCCGACTTACTAAGCCAGGTATTTCCCACCTATCTGCTGGCTGGAGCGGAGAGGAACTTCGTAACGTGAGAGGCAGTATAGCATACTGGGAAAAGCCCAGGATTTCAAGCACAAAGACCCTGTGTTCAAAACTTGACTCTGCCACTTCCTAATAATGTGAAGCTGGGCAAGTCACTTAGTCTCTCTGATCTTAGTTACCTTGTGTATAAACTGGAAACACTCCCTAACCACATCCCAGGCTGATGGGAACCACATGAACATCAGTAAGAAAAGGCATGTGGGAAGCACTAGGTACACATTATCACCACAATTCGCTTGAATGGATGAAAAAGAGAAGAAGGTAAGTATAAAGGCACCCAGAGGGGAATGTAAGCAGGAAGGACCAGGGACAGAAGTAATGGGTGACAATCATCAGACAGGGAAACTTCAGTCAGCCTACAGACCTAGAACACAAACCTGTAAGTCTTCAGAGGCAAAAGCACTCCCATGCGTATTTTTCATGTTCATGATGAATCATGCTAATCTATAAGCTTCTCGAGGACAAAATCTGTACCTGCCTCCTCTTGGCATCACTTATTGTGCCTATGTATACCCTACATAATCAACAAATGTGTATTTATTGAATTAATAAGTGGAAGAAAATTCAGAGAGAATGTTGGTGCAATGGAGACCAGTGTTGCTAGAATATCATCATACACGATATTTTAATCTTTCTAGTTGATTCAAAGCACATATAAATAACTATATAATTATGTTATATAAACATTTGCTTTGCAAGTATATTTTATCAGTTATACCTAGAATAAAAGTATTAATAATGCCAGGTCATCGTAAATGATTCCTAATTAACTATGGGAAAAATCCATGTCCATTCTGATCCTAGTGTTTTACACCCACTTTCCCCAAGTTGGTTCTTTTTCTGCTGTTCCAGGTTCTAGGTGGGCGGTTAAGGGAAGTCTCACGTGACCCCAGAGAATCACACAGTCACCAGGATCAACAGCAAATGATACAGATTGGGACTTCAGACTTCTAGCATGACCATTTGAGGATGTCAACAGATGTTCTTCCCAAAAACAACTGCAAGGCTGGACAAAACTGTCAAAGACTGGAAACTGGCCAAAGGCATACAACAAACCAAGAAGTATTTATTCGTGAAAATTACTGCAGTTCAGATGAAAACAGCAAGCGGGCGCCATTCCGGCCTGCAGCTGCTCCAAGGTCCCCAGCTCTGCGGGAGCAGTTGTCAACAGAGCAGGGCAGGCCCTGGAAGCTGGTGGTCCTGCCGTGGCTGTCAGAGGGCTCACTGATGTGAGTATGGTCAGTCGGAGTGTAATCTCAGTGGCAAGGGAATAGGAAGGGCCAGGGTCTCCGCCAGCTGGAGGCTGTGATCTTCTGGAGCAAACAGTGGGCGACAGTTGGCAGGATTTAAGAGGGAGTCTGGGAAAGTGAAGAACACTAAGAGGACTCAAAGGCCGTAAGGACGTGCAGCAGAGCCAGCAGTGGGTCCTGGGGACCCACATATCTCTGGCCAGCAGAACCTATGTGTGTATTCAGAGGACCAGTGAGGGAGCCCCGCAGAAAACAAAAGCTGAGGCAGACTAAAAAACGACCTCCAGTTTGGATGCATGCCCCGAACCACACCAGATCCATCAGCTCAGAGTGGAAGGCTACTGGCTTGAGGGGTCTGAGCACAACTCCTGATCTTTGGCTAAACACTAATCCATATAGACACAAGGGTTACCCCTAAAAGCCAGGCTTAAGGATAAAAACAAAACAAAACAAAACAAAACAAAATAAAACAGCTAAGGAGAAACATCAGTGTTGCAGTGTGGGGAAGATGGATGTCAAGGATTTAGTCCAAGCAGGCTTAGTCCACAACAAGACAAGAACAGCTCTGGGGGAGGGGAGGAGGAGCCAGAATTCACAGCTGCTACAATACGCTATCCCAAATATCCAATATTCAACAAAAAATGAAGACACATACAAAGAAACGAAGCGTGGCCTATACTCAGAGGCTAATGTAAAAACTATAGTCAATACAAAAGGTCTCAGGGGGTCTCTGGATATTAGATTTAACAAAGACTTCAAAGCAACTGTTAAAAATATGTTCCAGGAACTAAAGAAAACTGTCAGGAACCACACAGGTCTGCTATTACCTTACTGATGAGCTAACAAGACAGGCTATTATGTGTCATGGGCGCTGGCAGAAACACAAGTCTTGCATCAGAGACAAAACTTTATTACTCAAGGCAACAGCAATAGCTAGAGTTTCTTGTTTGTTTTCATCAGCTCCCAAACCCCCCAAGCTGCACAAAGGCAAAGCGAATGCCCTGGACGGATGTGTACACATGCAGCAGGTTGCTACAGGAGAAGACCCCTGAGCTTGAAGAATCCACCACTTCCACAGCAAGCCCCAAAGAACAGGCCTGCGGTGGATATCTGATTTTGTTCTGTTGTGATCAGGCACACACGTTGTATGGCTGCAGTCTTTTAAAATTTCCTGAGACTTGTTTTACATACATACAGCATATGGTCTATGCTGGAGATTGTTTTGTATGTGCTTGAAAAAAAACTGTATCTGTAGTTGATGGGTGGGGATTCTAGAGTATCAGTCAGGGCAAAGTGGTTGCTAGAGTTAAGTCTTCTATACTCTTAACTTTTTCTAATTGTTTTAATTCATTTTTGAGAGAATATTAAAATTGCCAATTATTATCACTAAATTGTGTATCTTTTCTTTGAACATATCAATTATAAATACATATACATCTAAAAACAGGGCCCCAAAATACATGAATTCA